AATTACTTCTCTCTGATTTACCATACTTTTCTTTCTAGTTTCTTTTTTAGTTTGCAAATATCCTATAAAGAAATTCTTAATTTATTAAAGGACTTATTTTCAAATAAATAAGAAATCTATATTTTCCTGGGCTTCTAAGACTCAAATAATCAGTTAATCATTCTCTCCTGGATTTATAAGTTCATATAAAAGTACCTAGAGGAAATAACATTTGCTTTCACAGCAAAATGTTTGCATGTATAAATACATGCAGAGAGGAACATGGTGTTTATAAATATACAATTAGATTATTTTCCTGAAAGATCCAGTTTCTGGGGATTCATGTAGTATATAGTCAAATATTTTAATAATGTTTTGGAGAGCTGGCTCCCTGTGCTTACAGCTGTAATTTGCTGCTGGGTAGGTTGTCACATATCTCATCTGTAAGAAATTTTTCTAGACTACCATTGTGCACTGTGCACTGTTGTCAGATAGCAAAATCTTTCCTCATGCTTGATCTCATGCTTATCTGTAAGTCATGGCCACACAAATCAGCTGAACTTTCCTTGCTCACACATAGCTTGTTGTTTGTAGTAATTTCTTCCCATTTGACTTTCTCCTCCTACCCCTCTGCCTCCCTAACAATTTTAAATACTTTTTCCTAATTATCTTTTGAGCAATGAAATAACCAAAATTGTGTTTCTGGCCTGTCCTCTTACATTCTCTTATTCTTCTATAATATTACAGTGTCATTGGACTGTGATGACTTTGAGAATTTTTCAGATAAGATGTCTGGAAATGCTCAATTTCTGTCTGGTTTGAGCGGAAATTCCACTCAGACCTGTTCTGTTACAGATTCTGGGCTTAGGCAGGACTTCTCAATGGATTGATCCAAGCCTTGTGTTCAGTGTGACTATACCCTCAGGTTTTGACTTGCACATAGGCTTAGGAAGTGTATTTCTTTTCTGAAAAATAACTTTGAAGACTGTGAAGCTGAAATAAAAATGCGTGAGGCTCAAATGAGTACCCAGAACTGTACTTGTAGTGCCCTGCTGTGCTAGTATGCTATTTTAATGAATTCTAGATCTGTAGAGACAAGGAGAAGAGATATACTCCAGGATCTATAGCCTCCATCCCACGTGGTCTCTACTTGCTCAATTTGTCAGATGAAATTTGATAACTACATCTAGTAGAACTGTTATGGCTCATCTATATTAATTTTAGCATTTGTCTATAGGACATATCAAAATGGTTGGAAACGGTTCAGCAGGAAGCTGCTGTGGATATAGAATAGAGAAATGCATGCCTGGTGACCTTCCCATAAAAAGATTCTTTTAACTGCTGGATTGGAACAATTAAATAAGGTCTTAGCTCCATTTCCTCAGCATGCATTGTCTTTACTAAGTCCAGTGGAACTGAATGGATTTGGGTTTGTTGGTCCATGCTTTAGAAGCTGAAGTTTCAAACAGGCATAATGTGGTACTATAAAATGCATGAAAACTTAAAGTTGTTTCTCATACATCATGAACACAAAGCAAAATTTTGCTACTTTATTTCTTTCCCAAGGTTTTCAATGGCAGTTCTCTTATTTATTTTTCCCATACCTTTTTCTCTCTCTCCTCATTCCAGACCTGAATCTTGCGATTTTTTTTTTTTTTTAGTGTAGGTAGTTAACATTTTAGGTGTTTAAAGGAAAAGAAAAAAAATCCTATCTAAATATCCTATACCTGAGATCCAAGTTAAGTGCATGTCTACCAAATGTGTTTTGAATTTCTTAGAATTTAGGTGAATTCAGTTTATAAAAACATTCTATGTGGTAGTTTAGATTACCAGCTTTTAAGAGATGGGTACTGCCAATTTATGAATATTGTCTAGAAGCTTTTAAGTGCTAAGAGAGTACAGGCGTTGATAAATAGTAATTTATAGGATGTAAATGCCAGTAACACTAATTTACTGATGCCTTTTTTTTTTTTTTTCCCCAGTATTGCTTTGTTTTCATTTCTGGCACCTCTGGTTTTCTTCTGAGACATGACCATGTCAAAAGGTACCAGAAGGCCTTTACCGAAGGGACTGGTATTCTGAGGGCTGTTTTAATCTTCTACTTTCATCCCTGCCCTCCTTCATGGTTACCTCTCAATAATTCCCTTTATTTCTTAGCAGGTATTCAAGGACATCTCTATCAGAGTTTTTTCCTACCAGGTTTTTGGGAAACTCTATAAAAATGCTGATCATAGCAATAATTACTTTATTTTTTGGCACAACCCACCCAGCTTCTTTGCCTCTTTTAACTGTGTCCTTAAACTCAGGGAATATATAACTAGAGAACTGGTTTGTTTTACTGCACAGAGAAGGATCCTTGTGGTAAGTGGGTGAAAAGGAGTCCATGAGGCAAAGAAAGTGAGAACGCCACGAGAGATCCACCTTGATTATCATGATTACAGAAGCTTGGAAGTGTTTTCAGACATTAGGTGGGTGATGGTAAAGCTGCCTTTTGAACTATGACTTAGGAAGATGAGCTTATATCTCATGATATAGAAAAATGTATATGTATGCTTGCATTTAATACTGTTTAACACGTGCATGTATAGCTACAAAAATATGTGTGTGCAAAGATGTATGCACACACACAAGTATTAAATAGTTAATGCTACGTTTGCCATGAACCATCTACAGTGTTCTCATGCAACAGAGGTTCTTTTTTTTTTTTTTTTTAATCCTCTCTGTCTGGCTACATATTTCATCCCGTTAAATGTGCTCACCAGTGGAACTATTCATAAAGTTTAATAACACACTCTACCAGTGATGCACTCTTCAGAATACTGAAATTGATTTTTCTTCTCCAAAAGTGTGACCTGCCAGCGTAGCCTTTGTCCTAAGGCCTAATAATACACGATGTTCCTGACAGCATGAGATGTGAGCGCAGATGTTCTGCAGGCATCTGAAAAAAAGCAGCCTCAGTGCAATCTCTGGTGCTGTCGAAGGCATTTTGTTTGCTGCAGATCAATGTCTGCTTTGAAGAGGAATAATTAAGGTGTTTTGTTCCTTCTGAAAAGGGTTCTCAAAATTAGGTTTGTGTCATCCAAGGCTTAATAAGGGGCTAGAAAGATATTCATGAGGCATCATGTTAAACTCATGGATGCTTAACACTTCTGAAATTCCAATTATTAAGGTAAGAACCTAACTTTAGGTAACCACTTTAATGATAGTGGTGAATATTGTTGAAGCTGTTAAAAATACCACAGAGGATCTGAACAGTTGCCTGTCTGTTCTAGAGGACCTTTACAGGAGTGCTTATCCTGAGATAACTTTTAATAAAAATGCTATTCTCTTCACTGTCATATTATACCTAAAGCATAGGAAATTATACTGTTAATTCTGCATCATGCAGAGCTGCTTCTGAAATTTTCATCCTAGCAAGGTCACAGAGGCATTTCCATGGACTTTATTTAGTCCTTCAAGGTTGGATGGACTTTTTTTGTTGTTAGTTGTTGTTGTTAGCTTAGCTGTGAGTAAATCAGAATTTGCAGGGTTGGTGCAGAAATTGCCAGGGTCTGTGTGATGGAGATGAATCAATAATTCCTTGTGGTCTTGAACTCTGTCACTTTAACACTTCTGCAGCGTCGGGCTGCATCTTGTTAGGGAGTTGCACAGCCAATGCTGTTCCTGAGGGTGTGGACCACTTTCTTTTCCACTTATGCTTTGTATCGCAGTGGCAGTGACAGCAGATATTGCAAAGTACAGTTAAGCATGCTAAATGTATCATCCAGTTGTCTTTTAATGCAAGTTGACAGCTGCTGGCAAAGCAGGATGAAATGGTATTCTTGGAGACTTCTGCTGCAGATCGCAGTCCGAAAAAAATCCCAATCCCTGCAGCTCCTTCTCACAGGATTTATTCAGGATTTATTTGTTTGATGTAAGAAGCACCATATTCTTTACTGAACTAGCTCTTTGTAGTGCTTGCAAATTCTCTACAATGTTACTTGCTTATTAACAAAAATTTCTCAACAGCAACAGTATGCAGCATATGCAATTTACTGTAACTGTACATAATAATATTATAATTTTTATCAATGCAAAAGTGCATTTTTATATAACTAATTTAGTAACATATTCCAGCACTACATCTTAACTAAGAGCTGAAGGACATTTGCAATCCAGTATTTTAACTCGCTGTCCTGAAGGGAAAAAAAAAGAAATTGGCTTGTTATAAGAACACACCCCACCTTGTATTTTCTTTTTCTGTCTTCAGAGGTGATTTACAGCTGTAAGGAGGTAAACAGTTTCTTTCTGGCTGTGGTGAGAAGCCACAGGATCACAGCATGGCTGAGGCTGGAAGGTGCCTCTGGGAACTGTCCAGTCCCATGTCCCTGCTCACAGCAGATTGCCCAGGACTGAGCCCAGTCAGGATTTAAGAATCTCAGTGGAAGGAGGTTCCAGGGAATATGTAAAATCTTCTTTGTAGTTTTGCTCTGGTGTATTAACTGTATGGCGATTTACTAACTCAGAAGGTGTATTTAGGGTTAGGCAAGACTGGCTGCCCCTGTCTTGTATACACTGCTAGATCCATTTGTGAATTTTCCAGTGTTTTGAAACTTTAAAGCATTGTTTCATGATAGCAGTGTTGTTTATTAGGGATATGGCATAATCTGGGACTTGGGATCATGTGTTTCTGGAGCAGTTGTGTGTTCCTTATGAAAGTTTTATGTTTTCTTTGTCAGTTTTCTCCAGTGATTTCTTGTCTCTTTAGTATTCAGTGTTCCTGGTGAATGGATAGGTGTGCTTTGGGGTGAAGAGGGCAACAGTGAAATCCTAATCCTCTCTTGGAGATTCTCTAGTGTAGCATGTGGGAAATGTTTGCCTTGGAGGATAGTTTAGTCATGTTTAAGTCTGGAAATATATTATTTAATGGTTACATCTGATATCTGATTCCTATAAAAGGTGCTTTTTTTGTGAGTGAGCAATTCTCTTTTCAGTACCTTCTTGACAGAAAGACAACTAAGGCTTTTGCTGCTGTCTGACAGGGATTGATGGCCCAGCTGCTTTTCAAGATGATGTTCAGAAGATAGGAAGTCAAGTGCAGATTCTCACTGTTGGACAGTCCAGCCATGATGAAGATGATGGAGAGAAAGTGGCTAGTGGTCAACAACAGCAAAGCAAACAAGATCTTAGAACAGCAATGCAGAAAAAAGGTAAGTAGCCAAAGCTTCTTCATGTTCTCACTGTTTGCTTGATGTACGTTGACTCCTTTTCATATTCTCATTCTCAGCCCTAGCCTAAGCAGGGTTTGTTAGTCTGTGTTTCTTCTCCTCAGAGCCTGTTAGGCTCTATTCCATTATCTAAAAAGCCCCAACCAAAACCAAACCTAAAAAAAAAAATTAAAAAATGATGAAGGTCTCTGCTGTCCCAAGGAACAAGAACTCTGCAGGCTCTCAGGGATGTGACTTCCCCATCTGCAGTGCGGTGCCGCTACTGAGGTACCTGGCAGATGCTAATGCTCACATCCATCTGTTCACAGTTTTATATTGTACAACTCTGGAAATCACTTATTTGATGGCTAAAAAAAGAGCAGAGAATAGCAACATTCAAACTAGGATATTCATTTTAGTTGTGCTGCCAGTTACACGTTGTTCACGTTTTCATAATGTGTGTTCATAATTGCAGAGGTGAAAAGTACAGCACTGTGTATTCTGCAGCATTTCCCACACAGAGTCCTCAAATGTTCTGGAATTTTTTTTTATTCTAGAGGCATGTATGCTTTGGAGATAGTTTGTGTATGTACACATTCATGCATCTGTCTCTTCCTTCCTGCACTGTTGTAATCTCTCATTAGACATTAACTGTAGGAAGGGGAAAAAAAAAAGTCCTGAAATCCTCACAAAGCTTTTTCTGAAGACATTTGCTTTGGAGTTGTTCTTCTTCAGTGTACAGCTTTTGAAGCAAAGATGGCTCAAGCCAAGAGTGCTCTGATGCTTTAAGAACAAACTCTTTGTGTATAAAGAGCAAAATGTAAGTGCGAACTTGACTCGTGTAGAATAGACTATTCATACCTAAATGCTGCCTCTTGTCTGCAGAACAGTTCTCACTAAGATTCATTTTTTCTGGGACGTTACCCTGCAGATGTGAGTGGCTTCAACTGAAATGGGCAGATTTTCTCCAAGTGTGGTATTTCCTGGGCATTTGAGTTGCAGGGGTGTTGGGCATGACTAACAAGTTCTGATCTGTGTGGTGATTGTGTTGCCTTAGACCATGGCTCAGAATATTTAATCATGAGGCATACTACTAACTAAAGCTGATTGACTTAAAAACTCCCCACAGACTTCTCAAATTAGGTCACAGCCTTCAGATTTTTACTCTGGGGTAGTACTTCTAGTTTTGATGAGTTTTTCCAGGTTAACATATATTTTTATTCTCCTCAAATTTTTTTTTATTTTTTAATAGAAGCAGTGAGTAAAATTTTTTGTTTTGTTTTGCTTTGTTTCTTTATATTCTCGAATACATTTTTTACCAGGTCTGAGTATACTCCTGATCAGAACAGGCACTGCTAAAAGTGAATCACTAGTATGCTTCAAGTTGGGGGGGGGGCACTTTTTAAAAATGGGAATACTGAGGTTTATTAATTTTTATTAACAGCAGAGCTATGCTGGGTGAGACACAGAGAAAGTTATTAAGACAATGCTAGCAGAATCTCAGTAAAATATCTTGACTATGTGTGTGTGTATGGTTTACTGATTGATACCAGCAGAGGAGGCTTGTTAGAAAGTTTTGTGTATCCCAGTATTGATGCGACACTGTACGCAGAGATAAGGCTCTTCATGTGGATTCCAGCTGCCACTTCACTGCTGGTGGCGTGTCCTTACTGGCAGGTAAGACGTGTCCTTACTGGTCTGAAAAGCATTTAGAATTGCTGTCTCCATAAGTCTTTCTCTTGCATGGAATTGGGAACAAAAGGAGAAGAACACAGAGATAAAGTAGAAAGGAATCTGGTCCTGGTTGACAGCGAGTTGAATGTGAGTCAGCAGTGCCCTGGCAGACAGGAGGGCCAACCATGTCCTGGGGGGCATCAGGCAAAGCATCGCCAGCTGGTGGAGGAAGGGATTGTCGTGCTCTGCTCTGCACTGAGGCAGTTTTGGGCACCACAGTATAAAAAGGACATTAGGCTGTTAGAGAGCATGCAAAGGAGAAGCTGTGTGAGGAGAGGCTGAGGTCACTTGGTCTGTTCAACCTGGAGAAGAGGAGACTGAGAGGAGATCTTGTTGAGGTCTTCAACATCCTTGTGAGGGGAAGAGGAGGGACAAGTGCTGATCTCTTTGCTCGCATGACCAGTGACAAGACACGGGGGAATGGCATGAACCTGAGTCAGGGGAGGTTTAGGCTGGATGTCAGGAGAAAGTTTTTCAACCAGAGGGTGGTTGGGCACTGGAACAGGCTCCCCGGGGAAGTGGTCACAGTACCAACCCTGTCTGAGTTCAAGAAGCATTTGGAGAATGCTCTCAAGCACGTGGTATGATTCTTGGGGTGTCCTGCAGAGCACCAGGAGCTGGACTCAATGATCCTGATGGGTCCCTTCCAACTCGGCATATTCTATGATCCTATGGAATGCTCACCAGCCTAATGGGAAAGGCCGAGTCCCATCAGATTTGCATAGCCCTGGTTTATGCCTGTTCTGCTCTTTGGCACTAACTTGGTGGAGAGAAACTTCTCTTAGCACATGTCTCTGCTTCCCCAGTGAGTCAAGTTCTATCATGAGATAAGAGGTTATAGGCTACTGAGTGTGAAAAGAATAAGCCACTTGCAAGAAAATGCCAAATGCTGTATTTGATTTCTCCATCTGTTGGAAATTGCCATAGTAGAATAATTTTCTTCCTTCAGGAAATATTCGTCCTTTTAATTTCCGAAGTGTTAATCTGTAGTGTTCCTCCCTGGCAAATGAGTCACTAGGACAGAGCCAGACTTCCGTAAGTTTTAACACTGAATAACTAGCATGGAGTCCTCACATTTATCAGTTTGCAATATGTCTCTGTAGAGACATGGAATGAGCAATTTCATCATAGTTCTCCTTTGACACCTGAAGTTACAATTGTTTTGAGATTTGGGGAGGAATAGATTTGATTTTCTGGATTCAAAACCAAAACAGGAGCTCTCTGAAGCATTCTTCCCCACAGTCCATGAGGGCAGACTTTTCCAAGGCTGGCGCAGAATTTTCACCACTAAAATATTGATGGTGAAATAGTGAGCACAGGTGTAGAAATAAACTGATTACATCTGTGGATGTGAAGTATGGCTTTATTGCACAGCTGCCAGCTGAGGAGATGGATGGTCTCTATTACCCATGCGTAGAGCCTAGAACATGGTTGCCATTATTAAGAAATAATGCTTGTGATTAATGACTGTTGATTAATAATGAGTGAGTTCTACAGGCTTTGAAAATATCTGTTGACCTGTGAACTCAGGCCTCCCTTGCATAACCAGATCCTATTGAAACTTTTTGCTGTCGTGCTCTGTGGTGTAATGTGCATGCTGGGGGAATTGAAGAAGTGGATAATGAGACCTTTCATGATGCAGCTGAACGGAATGCAAGCATTGCATACTCTTCTGCTTTACTTTTATACCCTCACTCTTACTGCTCTGGTGGTGTTTCACTATCCAGTGTGCATCTGGCATCAGAAGCTGTTTTAAATGTCTTTTTTTTTTTCCATCTGTTCCAAAATTTGAACTGAAGAAAACAGTTATTGAGTCTATATCTACTGTTTATATTTCTGTGCATTGGTTTGGTCTCTGCTTTTTGCAGACCGAGTTTGTGTTCCAAAAGACTAAGCTACATGAAAATCTTTATGCATTTCCCTGGAACTCCCAGAAAAACAGTTTAGAGAGCCTGATTTCATCTTTCAATGATGTGGACACACTAGGCACAGGGATTGAGGTAGAATTTAGGCTGTCTGATTATGACTCTGATTATAACTTCTTTCAATGTTACCGAATGAGTATTTGTGTAGAGTCCATGTGTATCACTTACATCAATCAGGTTTGAGGTGTTTGATTTTTTTGTTAGAATTTGGAAGTAGGCCAAGCCCCTACCATGCAGTGCTGCATCACACACAGGAGGGTTTGTGGCACAACTCTTCAGTGTGGATGAGATGAGAGGAGGTATAAGCAGGTAGAAGGTGAATTTGATTGTGCAGTGCAGAAAGATAAAATGTCCATAATTGCAAATTCAAGTGGCAGCATTATGGCCCCATCCTGTAAGCCTTTAGCCCTTTGGGGAGTCCTCCTGCCAAGTTACACTTGTTCACTCAATTAAGGGTTTGCAGAATCAAACCCTTGGATTTTTTCCTTTCCCAGATCCCCATGCAAATCCATCCTGGTCCTCTTCCACCTCCCAATCCAGTCTTGTCGCCCTGGATCATGTTCCTGGTAAGTACAGAAGGAAGAAGTTAGTTATGCCCTGCTACTTGGCTCTGGAAATTTGCATTTCATTTATCCTTCTGCATTGGACTTACCAATAATGGGAATTCTGAACCAAGTGGGGTGTTTTTTTGGGTTTTTTTTTTATAAGGATAAAATATAGCCTCTAATATGTGGAATTTAAAGTGTTTAAACTTGAACCTGGGGTGGCTTCGTTTGCATGATACTCCTTGAACAACTAGGCCCAGCAAATATCCCACCATTGATGCTTTTTGCTGCTAATTGTGTTTCCCTTTGAAATGTCTGAGGATTTCAATTCTTGTGAAGTCAAATTTTCAAGTGCTGTGAGGCAGTTCCGTTGGCCTGGGCTGATACTATTCTTTACATGAAATGAAGATGCATGAGAACGTTTCCTTGATGTGAATATTTCTCCTCAGTCTAAGATCTACTCTTGAGCAGATCACATAGGAGCTGTTGAAAGTGTGCTGTAAAAGGGCTTGTATTTTCATTATTAAAGTCTCCAAGTGGCTCTGCCAGGTCTAATATTCTCTCAGCTCCCAATTTCAAGTTTGAGATTTTGTGTTGTGTTTGAAGTACTTGATTGGATGAAGATGATCTGAATTTAATTCCTAACTGTGTATTTGCTCTTCTATCCCTGGGTAACTTGATCTTCTCTATGAAATGGAAACTATGATGTTTCCTTTCTCTTTTACTGGAATGTTTTGGCTTCTCAGGGCAGATGCCATGTGTTCACACACTGCCACGCACAGTGAACCTCCCTCCCACACGCCCTCACTCACCTGTGAGCCTAAGGTGCAGCAGTATGGGAAGTGATGTTCTACAGCAAGTATGGATGGCTTTAATGTATTAGTGTTGCATACAAGTGTGCTGCTTTCTCCTCAGGCATTTCAAGTAGCATGAATTTTGATGAGGAAGAAGATGAGGAAGATGAAGACAGCTCCAGTTCTTCACAGTTAAACAGTAACACCCGGCCTGGTTCTGCCACGAGCAAGAAATCCAACAAGGTAAGGGGGGAGTTCTGAAGAAGGGGCGTGCAGGGTGCTAAGTACTGCGTGATTTCAGAGTGCAGTCAGGATAGGCCTGGCTTTCTTGTTCTGTTTTTAATATGCACTGGAGTATCTCCAAGGTGATTTACTGTGATAGCTCTCAGGGTTCACAGGAGCAAGCAATGAAAACAATGACTTGGAGAGAAGAATAGCAAATATTGTCTGAACTTGAATGAAGAGAAAGGTAAACAGTAAATATTTACCTTTCTACCTCTTGCAGGTGCTCAGAAGGATCTTTTGTTGCCATTGACTTTTTCTGGGCATTTTCCCACCCTGTTCTCGCTACCACCATCTGAACATAAAATAAGACTTTGGATTGTTCAAACAATCTAAATCACAAGCTCTTGCTAAACCAGTTGATGGTGCCCCACTCTTTTATATACTGCACTGACTTCTCATCTTTGTTATATCTCCATCTAGCTTAAACTGTTGCTCCCTATCCCATTTCTTCCTTTCATCAAAGGCCATCACTGTCCTTGAGTATGACCTTTCTGGGAGAAGGGGTGCGGTGAGATGGGAAGGTGTGAGCCAGGCTTTGCTGTGTAACTGCACAGCTTTCTGTCTGTGCAGTCACCCCATTCTGCTTTGCCAGCTCTGTCTGTACACTGAGCATCAGCTGCACAGGCAGCTGCTCCCTGGGCCTCTGGTAGGCAAGAGCTTGACTGACTGGATTGGAAGAGATCCTTACCTTGACAAGCTGTCTTCAAGGCTGCTGAGGAACCAGAATGGGGAAGACAATATACCCCTTTTTTTTTTTTTTAAGTGCAACTGCTATCAAATGCCATTCCTTTGTACTTATAACCTTGTAAATCAGAGTTGAGAAACTTGAATTTTGCTTGTTGTTTTAGGAAGCAGCCTCAGCCCCCAGTCCTTCCACAAATGAGCCTCTCATAGATGTTGATGACCTGGAGGAATTTGCCATAAGACCTGCTCCACAGGGTGCCACTGTCAAATGCAGAATCACAAGAGACAAGAAGGGAATGGACCGAGGGATGTACCCTACTTATTACCTCCACTTGGAAAGGGAGCATGGTAAAAAGGTCATAAAATAACTTGAATGGCATACCAGTTGCATCTGAATTTTAAAAAATGATAAAAATCTGAAGAAGTCTTATAAAGGAAGTGTAATCTTATATTTTAAATGTATTTTCACTTTCACTGAGATCTGTCCTACAGTCTTCCAAAAGCAAAACAACAGTATCACTTTGATCCACTGCCTTTCTTCATATATCTAATCTTTGGCCTTAAATAATCCATGCATGGCACCTTTATGTGACTGTCAGCAGTTGGGGCTCTCTGCATTCTGTGGCCTGAAAAGCATCTACTTTCAATTCAACTGGAAGAGCCAGAGCAACTTAGAATGAAACATTTAACAAAACAGATCAAATTTAATTATTTAAACCATAAATAATAGAAGTCATTTTCCCTTCCCAGTTTTTTTTTTCTCCTGGTTTTGCTAAGTCCCAGGAGACCCTCTGTCAGGAGACCTTCTGTTACTTTGCTAATGATGCTGGAAGACAGAAAAATTGCCTATGGTTTATTATATATCAGAGCAGGAAGTGGTGTGTGCTAATCCCTTTAGCATTCTGGAATATGTTTTTTTGCATTGCTTAGGTGTTTCTGTTAGCTGGAAGGAAACGAAAGAAGAGTAAAACCTCTAATTACCTCATCTCTATAGACCCAACTGACCTGTCTCGGGGTGGAGAGAGTTTTATTGGAAAACTGAGGTAAACAGAGATAAGTCTAAGAATTTTTCATTACAGTGATAAGTCTAAGAATTTTTCATTACATAATACAAATTTCATTTGATATTAAGAAGCCTGTAAGCCACTATGACTTCTTCATTAGAGGCTTGACTACATACATCATGTGATAATGATCCTAAAGATCACCAGTATCTGAGCTATGTTTTCAAAATGTCTCAAGTACTTACAGCATCACATTTTATTAAAGTCATCAGGACTGAAGCTCTTAAATGCTCAAAGACCAGATTCTCAAGGGTGTGCAAGCTCAACTTATCTTAATGGGATTTTCAGAAGTGCATGAGTACATTGTGTCTAGCCTCTACTGATATAAATACCTTGGAATGCAAGTACTGTCTGTTACACAGAAAATCTCTTCAGTTTTGCCTGGTCCTTAAGATCCAAATCAGTTATTTGCAGGTAGCGGAATTATTTCAGAAGGATGTGTTTCTTTTCTGTCTGTCACCCTGTTGTACACCAGTCTGTTGTTAATACCTGGAGCCTCTTGATGTATGTTTAGATCATCTTTGCCTGAGGAAAGGGCCTGTGCTACTCGTTGCCATTTGCCTGTGGGAATCTTGGAACTTCACGTGCTATTTATTGCAGTGCAGACACAGAATGAGGATCATGTGGTTTTGCATGTCCTACACTGTATTTTGCACTCCTTTCCATTGAAATAGGAAAGATTATTTCTGACTTTATAAAAATCACTCCCTATATTCTAATACAGTTTAGTGGACAGGTAAGAAAGCAGATAGTTCTGTACAGAGTAAGCATACTGTAAAAACACAAGCAAACAAACAAAATAACCCCACTGAGTGTTTCCTTACTGCTTTCTTGAATTTACTAGTTTGCAAGATGTCATGAGAAACCTCCAGTGTAATGATAAGGGACTTCTAGTATACTCTGCTGTACTGTACCTTTATCTTTTTGTTATGGCCTTTAATCCAGGAGAGTTGCCGTTTACCTGGGATGAGAAATAACAGCTCTCTGTACTCAATACTTCTCTTTCCTTTGAGGCTACAGTGCAGTAAAGGATTGATGTCTCGGGCAGCATTACTGGCAAATGGTGATCGGATTTTCCATTTTTTTGATAGATCAAATCTTATGGGAACTAAGTTTACAGTTTATGACAATGGAGTAAATCCAATGAAAACAACATCAAGCCTGGAGGCGAGTACCCTGCGTCAGGAGCTAGCTGCTATTTGTTACGTAAGTACTGCTCACAGGCAAAATGTGCAGGAAGGGCAGTTCAGTTTCTGAGACAGCACTCTGAATTTCCTTCTCACTTAGGATTATGTAAATCAGCATTCATACTTGGACATAACCGAGCAGCTGATCTCCACTAAAGAAACCAGGAAATTCAGTGGAAAGTAGAGGTAGAAAACATGCACTGAACAGGGTTCCCCAGTTCTCACCTTTGGTCAGAAGGTGTTGGGGCTTTTACATAACCCTCTGGAGAGGGCACCAGCTGAGGGAGCCTCCTGAACTGCAAAGAGTTATATGCAAGGCATTACTGCTCTAGTGTGATTGTTTTTCATGGCATTTTGGAGGAGGCATCTCTCATCCAAATCACAGGTAACTGGACAGGTAGGACTGCGATAAAAATTCTAAAACTCCTTTTTATCAGGAAAAAAACATAAGCAAACCCCAAGCAAAATACAAACTTGTATTGAATGAGAGAGACCAGCCTCTTATAGGACAGTAAATAACACTTGTCAGGAGCAATGCAGGCAGTGAAGACTTGAAACACAGTTCCTGTTGTTTCCCGATTGCTGGATGAGTAACAGTTTTGTTCAGACGATTCTTTCTGTCCAGAAATATGCGGGCCCAAGAAATCCTTCTAGTCAAAGTTGGTATGTACACTGGTACAGAAAGTTGTCTGGTTTCACAAGTCAACAACTTCTGATAAAAATACCCAAGAATGGCTTTTCTGAAAAGTTCCTGTCCAGCTTTAATCAAGGATGCCTGGAAATCTGTCAGTTCGAGATCCAGCACATACCCAGTGTACTCACAGAATGCATTCCCATAAAGGTCAGCTTTGGGTTGTGGGTAGCAATGTGTCTGGAAGATTTCAGCACATGAACAGGAAAGCAGAGAGCCATCCTTTCCATGCAAAGTGCCAAGAGTACTGAAGTGGGACAGTATTAGCTGCCAGCGTGTTCTTTTCCTGCTGCTTAGAATGCAGTTTTTCTGTGGATACAGTATAAATATGCCTCCATTCCTGTTAGATTTGAAACTCTCAGAAAATCCAGCTAGCTGGATTTAACAAGGGACTCCAGGATTTGGTGTCAGTTTGACTGACATTTCAGTAGAAACCTAGAACTTACATGTTTAATATAGGTAATTTTACTGGTTTATATAGGAGGGCATTCTCTGGAGCCAGGCAACTAATCTTCTGGTGCAAACTGGAAACAAAAGAAGAAAATAAAAAATTATTGAAAAATTTAGTCATTGCTTGTTTAAGTCAACAACAATAATTTTTGAATGATGAACATTGCCAAATTAAAAGCTGTTGTGGTCAGCAGAGGTAACTAGAAGTGTGAATGTTGGAAGCAACCGAACCGTGGCCACTGTTGGCACAGTGTGGCTGAGATAAGGTTTTATGTGTGTATTTGTAATCAGCAGTTTGAAATTTGGACATTTTTATAAGAAAATTACTCTTTATACTAATGGAGAAAAGCAGCAGGCTTGCAGGTGTGCTGTGGCCAGAGGACAAAAGGAAATTGGAATGGTATTTCATTACTAGCCAGGTTTGCTAAAGTGAGATTATTGTTCCTGGCTGCAGCAGAACCACAGCAGAGAGTGCCAGGAAGAGCAGTATTGAAACACCCTTGTCCTAAGGCAGTCTTTTAATTCCTGCCTTGAGATTTCCCCTGCAGCAAAAACTATAAAAACCAATACTTTAAAAGCACCACTATGCCTCTCACTGTCCCTCAGCTCATCTGATCAGGTACCCATGTGGAGAGCAAGCTGTACCCACTCCCACCAACTTACTGAGCATGACCTGCTTAATCATCCCAGCAGGTCTAGTTTATACGGGCAGAAACTGGTGATACATCTGTTGTTAACTGTGGGAGAAATGTGTCGAGGACTCTCTTTGTGGAGCTCACCTTAGGGCATGTGTCAAGGATCGGGAACAGAGAGCAAGGACAGTTTTCTCAGGTGCTGTTAACCATTTTGACTCCCCCACTGCTGGCAGCCCAGCATATTAATAAACCTGCAGCAGCACCTAATGGCTGGTTGCAGAATCGCTCGGCAAAATTTATCAAGGAGCAGTGAGGTGTAACTGTACCATTTGTACCAGGATTTTCTGTGCTGCATTCCTTTAGTACCTCACAGCTCAGTTTGTGTCATATTCCGCAGGCAGGGAGCTCAGCTGACATTCTGAGCTGTGACTCAGGCTTCAGTAAAGCAACAAGACCCCGTGTCTCTACTCAAACCTCAATCACTTGCATTGTGCTCCAGTGTGGTAGGTTCTGTGATTTGGGCTTTCTATAGCTTTTCTATAGTTTCTACAGAAGATATTAAGCACAGATGTGTGAAAAAAGTCCAGAAAGGGAAGTAACTGAAAGAAAATTGGGGTAACAAAACGGAATGTCCTGGGAGCTGCTGGGATGTACACCTTGCTGCTTTTATTGTGGCAGCTGTTGCCACTGAAGCAAGATGCTTACATAATTTTTTGAAAGTGTGTAAGGTTTTAAAAGCAACTCTGTGGAGAGGCTCTGTGTTCTTTCAATCCAGTTTATTGTGACACATGCTCACAGAACAGCTGACTTGGATTGGTTAAGGCAGAGAGTGCAGCTTCTGAGCAATACTGGGACAAGTGCTTAGCTGGTATCAATGATTGGTGTGCTGGTTGAGATGACAACACTTGTGTTTCTGTTTAAACTAAGACTGCCAGTGGCATTAAAAAGGTGTAAAACCAGAATTTGGTCTCTGTTCTCCCAATAATGCCGCTTGTAGTCTGGAATTTACACACACAGAATCATGGAGGAGGGAAATAAAAGAGAAGCAGGGAATGAGACAGGAGGTAGGGGAAATTAATTTTATTTGGATGCAGGTGGATTGGAAAGATCTGCTTTTAATTAAAGCTCCTCTTTTTGTCCTGACCGCTCTCCTCATATATTCCATGTTTATGTAATTCCAGGTGGGTGCCATGATTTTAGCAAAAGGGTAGCATTTGCAACATAATGTATGATAATTGGTGATGGTTGTAATGTGCAGCTAGTGACCTTTCTCTTATCATGTGGCAGAAGTTCCAATTTTAGTGTTTCTGAGTAAATCCAAAGAGTATGGCCCTGTTTTTTCAGAGTGATAATACTGCTTGTTGGGAGGGAAGTGATTCAGCACTATTATTTAATTTTACCTTGAACAATGTCTTCAACCTGTCAGCATCTAAATTAATTATGTATAGCATAACTGCTGCCTGATGAGAAGAAAAGCTTGTAAGGCATTGCAGAGAAGGCCAAAATTGCTGGTAGTTAGTGGAAAATAAGCATAAGCATGAATCTTTTCTTAGAACTTGTCCTCTGCTGTGCTGAGTCTCTCTTACTGGCAGTCATATTAGTTTTCGTCTCACCACGATGCAAAACCAGGGATATGCTTCCAACTCAACTGATAACATGCTTTACTCTGCCAAAGGATGTTACATAAATGATTCAGAAAAGAGGCAGAATCTTCTCATTAATGTACAGAGTTAGGAAGATACATGAATATATCTGGATTGCTTCAGGAGTATTCAGTAAAATAGCTCAGTGGAATTTTTATTGCACGCATGAAAAACTTTAAAAGAGTTGTGAAAAATCTCGAGATGGTTTGCTGAAACAACCAAAGTTATTTCAAAAGTCTGATGGATTACAGAACTGCACAAGTAATTTTTAGGTGTATTTTTTCAGATGTTTCTGGTGAGTTGAGATGCTTGAATTTTTTCTTGCAAAAGTAGAAATGTTTTTAAAACTTTGTATTCATTAAAATCAGGACACTTTAATTAAAGGTATAAAAGCAGAGACATCTGAATATGTAATTTCTAAATGTCCCAGTGGTAAAGCCTCACCAGCTGGAGGCCAGAGCTGTCTGGTTCTTGGCATCTTGTGGTATGTTGCTGGGAATAACACCAATGGGAATGTCCTTCCTGAGATTCCTTAGTGTATGTCCACAGCCCTTCATTTCAGAATGGCAGAGGGAAAAAAAATCCATGTGACTGAAAAAAAAAATTATCATGAAACTTGAGGATATGGACTTTCAGAGGTTTCACTGTTTCATTTACTGAAGTTAGTGCTAAAATCAGCTTTTGATGAGTGGATTGGGAAATATTGCCCTTTACTTTCTCAAAAGCGTATGATGACTTAGCGAAATATTTGGCCCTGGTTGCTTCTGGGGGAAAAAAAAAGAAGTGTCAGATAAAAATAAGACTCTAGGCTGGTTTAGATTTTAATGGTTGTGTTTTGAGAGGGCAGTGAGAGCTGTCCTCTACTGGAGAGCTTTTACTGGAGAGGTTTTATAAAAATATAGTCAAAAGCATCAGATCATGTTTAATGGAAGAACTTGTATTTTCCATTATTTACTTTTGCTGCCTGTGTGATTCCTTTACTTTTCCTGCCTTCATGGCTAGAAAATTTGCCTTCATGCTAATGTGTTTGTTTTTTACCATGTTCATCTCTAAGCATAACATATCTGAAGACTTTGAAAACCACAGCACTGCTAACAGATGCTCTTACTGGCAGCTTCTTCTTGTTTGCTTTTGTGCTGGCTTTGGAATAAATGGAGCTGGTCCCATATATTTAATTTTGTCTCGCATCAAAATGTGTGACTGCATTTTATGATTTGTAAATTGCAACTACTTTATTTTGGGATCTAGCAGTAGCCAAGCAATCTGGTTAATTCATATCCTTTTTTAACAAAGGGATTTTTGTTTTTGAATTATATTAAGGTGCTGGCAGCCAATGCTAGGAATGTTTTTGGAAACCTCTCTATTTCCATTTTTCCTGTTGTTGGAGCTTCTAAGACAAAGCTAGAATGTTTGGCAGTGCCAGTGAAGGTGGGAGTTTCAAGATGTTTTTCTAGTTGACTAACAAATAAGTTCCCATGGCTGCCACTGTGTCTCTCTGTTGAAGAAATTAAGTTTAAAAATAAAGAACATGATGAAATCTTTTCTAAACATTTTTAGGAAACAAATGTCTTGGGGTTTAAAGGACCTCGTAAGATGAGTGTGATCATACCAGGAATGAATATGGACCATGAAAGAGTTTCCATCAGGCCACGAAATGTAAGTCATACCAACAACCAACACTAAAAATTACTTGAATTCTCTTTTCAGTTAGAGTCAGGGTTTTATAATTGCATTTCTGAAGGTCTAGTGGTTAATCAAATGGTATTTGAAGAACTGTATACCAATAGGATGTGTGACTAGTCCTGTGACTCACAAAAGCACTACAAATAATGTATTTTGGTACCAAAAGTCACAACTAACGTTTTCCAAATGGTGGAAAGGGTTCAAATGCACATTCACATTACGATCCTCAGAGCTCTCTGTTTCGTTCGTTGAAGCTGTTTTAAGGATTGAGGGTAACAGTTCAGTTTTTGGGCTAGGATTTATGAATATTGGTCTTCTTTTTGAATGTATTTTTTGTCATGTGACTATGCTAAAGCGAAGTGTGTATGTGTGATGTGTGCAGGAACATGAGACGCTTCTTGCAAGATGGCAGAACAAAAACACAGAGAGTGTCATTGAGCTGCATAACAAAACACCAGTCTGGAATGATGACACCCAGTCCTATGTTTTAAATTTCCATGGTCGAGTCACACTGGCCTCGGTGAAAAACTTCCAAATTATTCATGACAATGATCGTAAGTACAGCTCTCAGCCAGTGATGTGTAGGAAGAGTACTGCATGCACAGCCTGGGAGGGCTTCTGCACTTACAGTTGTTACCTGAGCACATTGAATTGAATTCTGTGGGTCCACCTTAATGCTGCTTTGCCTTGTGGCTGTGGCACTGAAGCAAGTTAGGTGTTTAAATGCTCATGCTTGCAACAGGAGATAGCTGTGTGCTGTCTGAGTTTTCTCCTGTGGTTGCCCAGCTTATGAACTGAGCAACAGTTTAGAGTAATTTCTGCTCTCAGACCAGCTTCCTTGTGGTTCTACAGTCAGCAGGACCATGGGGCAGGGTCACTCTGCTCAAACATGTGTATCATATAATCCTTCCTTGGTTTTTTGGTTTGCTCTGGTCCCTGTACACTGCCCAGCTGGAGATAGCAGCAGTCAGACCAGTCCCGTTGCACATCCACCTTGCCATTACTAGTCATTAGCCCTACAGAACATTGCCAGTGTCAGAACAGCCTTTCACACTATCCCCTTACAGGTCCTTACTGATGGGCTGCTTTCTGCCATCAATGTGCAGCTCCCTTTTTCTCTCAAGCTTGGGTACAGTTGTTGGAGCTGGGATAAAGGCAAGTGCTCGAGTGGAGCAGCACAGCCCCACTTCATGCCCACTTTAGGCAGGCACAGTCTAGTGCTGGAGCCCTCCAGGCTAGACCAGTGCCATGCAGACTGCAGGGAAACTGGTGAAAGTGGCTGCACTAGCCTCTGAGAGCAACTCTGAATCTGAAACATTGATGTATGAATTTGCTGCATCCCAGAAATTGGGAAGAATTTCTGAACATGCCGTAACAGAGATATGATTAGGTCTAAATCATACTTATACCTTTTCTTCCCTCATTATTCTTGCTTGTCCACTTACCTGAAGTTAAGTGAGAATAGAATTAACTGGTTCTTGGTGCATGTGAAATTTGGTACTAGATCCGTAAAAGAGGTTTGAACATTCTATAAAGAAGCCATTTTCTCTCTGTGCTTGCAAAAAATACTTGTTATCTGTGCCATTCTTTTGACAAGTAACAAGTCTTGCAGCCCTCCATCGCTCAAACTGTCCTAGCTTCTCCCTCTGCTATCAGCACACCCTCTTGCATGAATAAGTACTGGTGAAGTTTCATGAGTGAGCATGTTTTGCTTGTGTTCTGTTGAACTGGGCCAGAGGATGATGTTGAATGCATGCTTATTTAGCGAGGACTTCAAACAAAAATAATGCTCTGTCACCTTTTATGACCTCTCTTGCAGCTGACTACATAGTGATGCAGTTTGGCCGCGTGGCTGAGGATGTGTTCACCATGGACTACAACTACCCAATGTGTGCACTACAAGCCTTTGCAATCGCCCTTTCCAGTTTTGACAGCAAGCTGGCTTGTGAGTAAAGGGGCGTGGGTGAGCATCCTCTCAAAGGAAGCAGTTTGCCATATGATTCCCAATTCCTGCTGGTGTCACTTATGGGCCATAATAAAAAGGTCAGGGAAAATGCAGTTGTGGAGGACTACTCTATTGCTGAAGAGAAAGTAAAAGGAATCTTCTAAAAAATTCAGGACATTCAGGAAATTATATTTTCCTTTTTTTTTTTTTCCCCCGTCATATTTTTCTGGAAGTGACATCAAGGTTTTGTAAATAGAAGTTCTATCTCATGTCCCTGGTTATGTTATGGATATGTGCCATGATGTACTGTACCGTGGCTCCAGTAGCACCATTACAGTGGTGTCTTTTTTAAATCCAGAAAGGGCGTGAACGCTCGAAAAGTTCCTTTTTACATGTAAGAATTATTCTGAGGCTGCAATCATACCTCAAGGTTGCATTCCTACATCGACTAATCAGAGCTTCACATCATCCAGCGTTAAAAGAAAGATCAGAAAAAAAGATGCACTTTTATTTTTTTTTGATTGTGCAAGGATCTCGTGTAGTATAAAGCCAAGTGTGAAGGTTGAAAACCTATACTGGACTGAACTTGATGCATTGCTATTGTACATGTAGTAGGGCATGTTGAATTTTAATTGCAGTAGGAGGAAATGGAGAAGTAGAAAGCACAAAACAATGTTGCACAAGTCACTTGAATTCTAAGCTGTTGTTATGTTTTAACATCTACATGCTTTTAATTTGTTTCAAATGAAAATGTACTTGGAGTACAGAAAAGGGAAAGGGAAACATCTAGATGCCAAGAAAGCATAACTTATGTTGAATTTGGCATTTTGTGTGCTGGGAATTTATATCCTTGTATTGCTCTGGTAATTCAAACACATATTTTGTATGAAGTGATATAAACAGTTGGATAAAGGCTCTCTGCAGCGAATCTTATTATTTTGAACAGGCTGTGTAAAGCTGAGGAAGGTAAATGGAAATATTTTATTAAATTTGTCTGGTCTTTTGAGCTTTTACAGTTTGTTGATTGCATTTTTGAACTTTGAGCAACAGCCACTTCTCATATTTATTTCCCATTGTAAGAATGCTTGAAATCGATTGAAACTGTGTATGTTGTTCTCTGATGTAAATGTGCCAGCTACTGAGCTAAATCCTTCTAGGCAAATCTAGTGTATACTGCATACAAATGAGACACTGGCAGGACACAGAATACCTTAAAGTTGTGTGGAATTTTTGTTTCCTTTTTTTCTGATTTATCTGGAGTATATAAAAAAAATACCATTTCAAAACACAAGCAAAGAAAAAACCATTCTATTATCTTCTCTCCCGAACATCTCAAAAGCCTAGAGCTGCAACTGAAAGCACATTGTAAAACACCTTTAAAAATAATGGTCTTTCTGCCATTGTTCTGTACAATGGCACACAAAGTAATAGAATTTATATGTAGTTCATCAGAAGGGTATTGAAATGTGAGTCAAGTGAAGAAGTTGTAGTGTTTTATACTGTGTGTATTCAGGTCCTCCTTTTTACTCTTTATAGACTCTTGCATTGCATTGCAAACCAAAGATTATGTAATGCAAAAATGAGATCAAGTCATTGTCTCATAGTTACCAGTTCCTTTTTGACTGTAAGGGACAGGCCACACGGCCCTCCTTAAGGTTGTGCCATTTAGACTCTATAATTTCAACTAATAAGAAAGATATACTCTCTTTTTCACCTTCACCTTCAGGTCTCCTTCCCAGTTTACAGACAAGGAAATTTTGTGGAAGAGATGAAAATAAGAAATTGCTAGCATTTTTTCTAGTCTTTTAAACAGTGTATGGAGAAGAGTCTGCTGGCTTTGAAAAGTGTCGAAGGGCTCAGCCTGTCAAATATTATCTTGAGCTAACAGGAAGTTCTACCTTTTTTTTTTTTTTCCAAATCTTTTTGCAAGAAGCATTTCCATGCAATGGTACAAAATGAAAAGACAGCTTTTGTTTGAGAGAAATGAGCAGTCAGTTCCCTCAAAGAATGACCAAAGTGTTGAGTCATGAGCTGCAGTGTGATCCTCAGGCTTTGCTCTTGGATGTTTTTCTCTGTAGCTAGTGGTTTCCCACCATTTCACATCCCCATCTGTCATCTCACTTTAAATTTAACAGAGAAGGCCCTTAGGCCTTTGCTTACCTCGTATCAGTCTTTAAAAACTAGCTCCGGTGACAACCAGAATTTTTTGTTTAGACTACTGCAGAACCAGTCAGGAATTCCCACTGCTGGCATTTAGGTTTGATATGGATTTCAAGAACTCTGCAGCATGGGAATGGTTGAATCTGCGTGGCTTTAATTCTGTGCCTTGCCAGTCATATGCTTTCTTTAAAGCCTGAGAAAGTGGCACCTGACACAGTTTTGTGCTTCTCTCTGTGCACAGCACTGTGTCAAAGGAACTAAGTGTCTTACAGTGCAAATACACAATCTGCTGGCTTTTGTAGTGAAGTTGGTTTAGGAAGGGTTATTTTTAACGCAGGTCATAACAATGGTGTGACTCACATCATGACCCCACTGGGAATTGGCATGAAAGGAAGCTCATGTGCAGTGAACTCCTGTACAAGGGTGAGAACGAGGGGCTGGGGAAAGGCAGCGGGTTCAGCTTCTTGGGACGGTTTTGCTGCCAGCACATTGTGTAACTTCACTCTCACTGCATGTTCTTCCCAGCCAGGTATTTTTTTTAACCTGTAAACATGCCAGGAGGAAAGTGGTGACTCAAATTCCCATCATAACAGAATTGTACGGGGCCATCAGCCAACGAGCTGCTGAGTTAAAAACTCCCCACCATAAATTGAGGTCACTAGGGGGGGATGTTAACCTGGGACTAAGGAATGAGGAACTCTCATTAAATCTGGTTCAGTTAGAATAGGATTTGTTCCTAGTGGCCTTTGCCAAAACCCTGATTCCTCACTGTTGTTGAGCACTGGTACTGGGTTCTTTTGATTCACCTGACCTTCACCATCTGCTCTGGAAGCAGGTACTTCTAATTTAAAATCTGTGTTATTTCTGATGGGCATTTTCTGGTGAACGTCTCTAGTGCATGTCGAGGCAAGGTGATATCACAAGTTTTCCAGCACATCTCTAAATTTTGTTCTCCTAACATGGCAAAGCCTTAGCATAGAGTCATACCTGAAATTACACTGTTCTCAAAGAGTCAGATTTTCTCCCACACCAGTAATAAAATCTTGGTACCAGTAAGTATTTTCAGAGATACATGCATACTAAAGTAACCAAGGTGTAGTTAGTGGCACACTCATATTAATAACTTCTGCTGGCCCTGCATGTCAATGTGCAACAGGGCATAACCTTGTTTACTCAGTGTGACAAAGAATATAATGGCCCTGAGCTGTGTATTTCCTTCACACAGTCCTGGTGAGTGTTTGGATACAGTAGATTTAATATTATTTAAAATCCCAATATTGATGATTTTTTGCATCTGCTGTTGATTTTGGCAGAGCTGTAAACAAATTCCTTGCCTGAATTGCTTACAGGCAAATACTGCATGCTTTAATGAGAGTTCTTAATCTAACTTGTCACTCTGTTTACATCAAACAGTTTCTTCCTGGCCCTTTATCTAATTTTCTTCATCTCTGATGTTCTGTTCCTTCTCATTCTCTTCACAATTCTTTTATCTGTTCTTTAAGGATGTGCAACTCAAAAGTGTTTGACAATATTATTCAGTGATCTCTCCACAGATGAATAATGCCTTTGGTGCACATTCAGTGATGCTCCTACAATAGAAGCCTTATCAGAGGGATGAATTTGGCCCTTTGGCTTTTCAGTAGAGTAAATTAACACATTAAAAGGTGGCAGATAAAAAAGCGTGCCTAAAATATAATCAGAATTTTTCTCAGTAAACATTCAGTAACTGGAGTTTCCAAACCATTGGTTGCAAATCAATGAGCAGAGCTGTCCACAAACCCAGAGGCAGGCTGTTAGATTCCCTTTGTAGTGCTGCCTTATTTTTCCTTTTTTCAAAAGGTTGAAAGTGATTTTGTGAGCTGAAGTTGTGTTGGTTGCCTATAACAGAGTTTGTTTTTTAGAAGCTAGACATCACTCTGCTCCTTTTGTAGGATAATATATGGCACATAAAATAGTAATGTCATAGGCTATTGTTACAAATTCTGATGCTAAGAAATCTGTGAGAACGGTTTTGTAATAATTACTGGCTATTCAAGTTGCCTTACAATAGTGCTGGAGTTCCCAGCTGGCTGTCCTCATGAGGTACTACAACTGAAGGAGCTGTAGTGAAAAGGGCTCTGTAATAAAATCTGGTGGCTGCACAATCGAGAAAACATTGTTGTGGAGTCAAATGACACCACTGAGTTTTATCAGTCATGGTGAACCAATTCCATCAATTCAAACTTTGAGGTTTTGCTCCCTTATGATGAACAAAGAGGGATTTTAAACAAGCAGAGACACCACCGAGTCCCTAAAAGTATTGAGTGTTAGACCTACTTTTCTGCTATAAAAATCTTACCCCTACCCGAGAGCTTCCCATTAAAAAGGAAGGAAATTAATCCAGTCCTTAGTATGGAAAATCACTCCCAGTTCTTGTATCTTACGTTTTTGCAAATTTTATTATTAATTTGTTAATTTATTAGTGATTTCACGTAGGATGCAACAAGAACTGGGAAACAAGAGTTCTTGCCCTGAAGGAATGATGAGTCTAGACCAGTATTGGAGTATTTCATCTTTGTTTATTTTAATAGGACAGAACAGGGGGTTACCTGGTGCTCCTGGCAGAGAAAGTTTCTCCTAATGTGTGACAGGTATCAGAGGAAAGATTTTGGGTTTGATCCTGTGGCATCTTAACTATCTGCCCCATACTATCCCATCACTCTCCCAAAACATTATTTGCAAGACTTTTCCTACTTTTAGAGAAGCATGTGCTCACCAGTAAATAACTTTGCTTGGCAATTAAGGACAGCACAGCAGTCACCTTTATTAGAATTATGGCCTGATAACTCAGATTTCTCAAAAGGCCTCATTTCGATTACTAGAATAAAATAGTTTTATACACATAAATCTTACAATAGAATTAATTTAGCTGTAGATGCAAGCTTCTCTTGTACGTGCTACTTAATGGAAACAGGTTTCTGTTGCCCCTCATGTATGAAAAGTACCTTCCAGGGTTCTGCTCTGTAAGCGTTTGAAATTAATTAGGTTGACACTTTTCAGTTCTTTTTGTTGCTCACCAAGGAACTAAGAAAAGAATTTGCACAACTCTCTCAATGCTTTGGTATTTTGCTATGAATTATAGCTCAGTAGCTGATACTCACAAATGCCTGTATATTGGATGAAAATGCATTAAAACTTATTTTGTATGTTGCATTTTATTTAACTGCCTAGAAATTATAGATTCCCCTTTTTCAGTAAGGGTATGTTTATCTATACCTTCACTGGTGAGAAGACTTGAATTAACTGGCTTTCTTGAAACTGTTTAATGGAACCAGTACTCTGGTTTGCTGAGATGGCTTTAGGAAGAGAATGCCATTCAGGAAAATTATGCTTACATTTTTGAGAAAAAAACCTTTCCTATTCACATTATAATTGGATTACACAATAACACTGGAAGCTTATGGTTTTATTTAAATCTGCAATGGCAGTTTGAAAATTACTCTGGGAAAGGCTTGTTAAGCACATGAACTGGAACGAAGTCCTACTCGAGAGTCAGAACCTAGCAAGTACCAGAGAATACTCATGCATCTGTTTTGGTGCTTGGGTACTGCTTGGGTGCAGAAAAAGTCCCGAAGAGTCCAAATCTGTGTTAAAATCAGCCTAGTCTTTCAGGTTGTCCAACAGCTGATACAACACAGGCCTGGGGATCAGGTCACCTGGCTGGTAATCCCAACTGACTGTCTGACTTTGTGCAAATCTTGGAACCTATTTGTGCCTCCATTCCAACAAGTTGAATGGAAATACTAATTTTCAGCCTGCCTATGTCTGTCTCTTATCTTTTGAGAGGTTTCTCAGGAATATTTTGAGGCTGGTGGATGACAAGTGGTGTTGCCATGCTCAGAACATTATTTAATGCTCACTGAAGGAACCTCAGTAAAAATAGGAAGTTTTCTGCCACCTGTGTAGAAACTGAATAGCTAACCAATCTGTTAGGATAAAATCAGAATGCTCTTCAATTCTATGGAAATCTTGTCAATGATCTCAGTGAGGCTTCAGTTTTTCTACCTTGTGTCATTTTTGGTTACTGGAAGTGCAGAAAAAACAGTAGGACAAACCATCTGATACACTTTTCCTCCTCACAGCGATGTCATGTTTGTTGTGTTTTACTTTGCAGCACCAGTTGTTTTAAAACTATTATTCCTGAACATGATGCAGAGGTTCAGTTAATGCAACCACCTATTTATGCTTTTATGTAGCAAACCAAGACACTTGGTGATTGTGCTGCAAATTGCATTTTTGTACTTCTGTTCATTTGTTTTTTTCACTTGGATGCGACTCAGTTGTTCAAAACTGTTTTTACTGCAGACTTTGACTCTGTCACGCACATCTGATTTAAAAACAATGAGTCTCATGATTTATGACTACTTTTATACTGAAATGGGATGTTTACAATGCAGTGTTTCTCACATTTCACCCTGTATCTGTGGCTTCCTACTGAGTCTATCCCAGTTGGCACAATGCCATTAGAAGTGTGATATAAAGTGAACTCTCTCAAAGTACCAGAATTCAACTTATAAACATTTTTATAAATTTTAACATTAAAATCTAGCTGATTTTAATGCTTACAGATTGCGTGAAGTTTCAAGATTATTTGTTGAAAATTTTCTTTCCTTAAGCTTGTTTTGAAGTTTGAGCTCTCATTTATGATGTAAGCTTCTGATCCTGCAGCTCCATCTGTGCAAGCCAAACAGAGCTTGGCCTGTTTGACTGCAGGAATCTGTCAGTGTGATGAGGACACAGTAAGCGATGGGATTTCTGAAGTCCTAACAAGAGTGCCCTTCCTCATTCTCTTAGGCACTCTTGAACACATAAGAAATCACATACCTTTCCTGTGTTGACTCACCAAATAACAGCAGGAATATTTTTTCATTCCCTTTGAATTTTAAAATTTTTTCTTAAGGCTATGCCTACTGTCTAGGTAAGTGTAACCTTAGCAACATTTAGTTTTGATGCCTTGGAAAACTGTATCATAAGGTCACTTATTTTGCCAGTGCAGAAAATCACATCAGTACACAAAACCAGAGTATTTTGCGTGGCAGTGGGCTTTGGGCACTGCTCATAGGATCATTAAGCTTGGAAAGACCTCCAGGATCATCAAGTCCAACCTTTGACATACTATTAAGTTCAGTGTTCAAATAAGTTTGTGAGCTCTGGCACCTTGTAACAGGAGGTCTTCATTCCAGTCTGAGACAGCTGAAGATAACCCAGTTCTTACCATCCTGTTCTCTTCCCTCGGGAGAATATCCTGTCCTTGCTGGCTAGATGTAGAATTGTATTGATCCTGATGTGTCTTTAAACATTACAGCATTTTTTAGCTATTTTAAAAATGTTTTCAAAGATGTGGTTTAAGCTCAAATAAAATAGTCTTTGAAGTAGTTATAGGTGTACCAAGTTGATTTAGTTGAGAGGCAGCTGCGCTTTCCAGCCCTTTCCTCAGTTTTGTATGAGCAGTGCTTGATAGTCCTGCTGGAAAAAAACATAACATAGCTATTATAATATACTTTCCTTGGGTTTTGCCTTATGATTCTGCTGTTTTGTGCACCTCTAGGTTTATTTCTGAGAGAAGTACTTCCAGTGCTAAACACAAGTAGAGCAGTGTTTTCTAATAAAGTCTCTGCCTCATTTTCTGCTGTGGAGATTTACATGTCGAGATTTGGTGTTTGGTACTAAAAATATAAACTTTTCATCCAAGAAAAAACCCCAGGATTTGTAGGCAAAGTCACTGACACTTAGTGCTATGTGCCTGGATTGACAGGGGCTTATTTTTCCAACCAGGAATCCTATTACTGGCAGAGTAGTGTGTGCCATGAAACATCCTATGATACCCTGTTGCATACCACATCTGGGACACAGTGTGAGGGCCTGGTCCAAAGATACAGCCCTCTCTCACCAAAATTGCACAGTGTTCTTTTCTGGGGGGCTTTCTGTTGAAACTTTTATGCTTGTTGCAGTATCTTCCATTTTGGGGCCAATCTGTGATTAGGTTAATAAATATCACCCTTAACAAACGTCCCCAAACTAAACACAGCACTTTGGAAAAGCAGTAGTAAAGCCTCACGTAAGTCTGGGAGCAGCAGGTGAGTATTATTATTCTTTTAATGGCAGTGAAGCTGTGATCTGCAGTTTATAAAGGCAAGCAAAGAAAGAAAGCATTATTTTTTGAGCCAGCACTAGAAATAAGTTCTCAGTCCCTAAATCTGTGTTCCAGCTAGTGCTGTGTGTCATCACTAGTAGATGGAGGGTCTCCATTTTGAACTTTGTCCTGAGGACTAAACCATCTCACTTCAGTTTGGAATACTGAAAAACCAAACCATGTAAATACAGAGTTCTCATCAGGCAATTGAAGTTGCACTGTAATCAAATTTAATGCAAATTTATTTATGAAGATGGCCCAGAGCAAACACAAGGGTGCTGTGCAAGTGTCAGGAACTGAGAAGTTGCTCTGCAAAAAACTCAAGTCCACTGAGTTTTCCTAAGTATAGAAAAAAAAACAACAGTGGGGCTCTATTTACTTTCTAACTGTATTTATTTGTAGATTCAGTGTTTTATAACGTAGGCTAAAAAGATAGAGTTTCTGTGTTCTGTTAATTCTAACTTCTGGTTTAAAGTAAGGCTGCAGTAGTGATGTGTACTCTTAAAAGATGTGTAGCAGTGTCATCTCAAAAAGCTGATTGTGGAATATGGCTCTTTAACTATGATAAACTCTCAAGAGTTACTGAATTCGGTGACACCATTTTTTGTTGGTTTCCTTTTCGTTAAAAAAGAACCGTCCTAAACCCTGTTTTTAAAAGCACTGGTTATTGTGTCCTTTTGGGCTACATTGCACAAGTCCATGAGGATGAATTCCTATTTTATATCACTTCAAATACTTCTTTGAAGGTGGTAGATGCTTTTTCTTCTTCTTAGTAATCCGTGTTACTGCAATTTCCTTGTTTTGCTTTCAGCCCCCTGATTCCTCCCTCCCCCTCCCTGCCCCCAGTCTAGAACTTTCTCTCATTTCAAACATGTACAGGTTTTTCCATATGGGGACACTCCAGAACGCTAAGTCAGTAAAACCTCTATAAAGTCAATGTCTGTGAATTAAAGTGTGTTAAATCCCTGTGTATATGCTCCCATTTTGAAGTAGGGTGGCCCTCAATTCCGGTTGTGTAATCCTCCACCCGGGTATTCATCACGTAGTGCACTACAAGGTCGTTGGTGAATTTTAAAGCGCTGAACAGGTTTCTGACCAAGATATTGGAGAACACATGTAAAGGGATTCACCCTTCTGTTCTCTCAGGGTGGCACTTAGGGCTTAGAGTGCCTCATTCCTAACAGTTGGCTCCTTAAATTGCACCTGCCAAGCTCAGCACCTTCACCCTTTAGGCCATGTTTCTGTAGTCCTCTTTTCCTACTGCGGTAGTTTTCAGCACTCCCTGATTTATTGCCACCTGTATGGTGAATTTAAGCTTCCTGACAACGGTGTACTTTCTTCTTGGGTTTTTGTGGATGTCGGGGTCTGGGGGCTGTATGCTGAAAGCAGCTGCTCTACCAGCATAGCGGAGCTTGATGCTTAGGAGCCCGATGTAAATGATGCCAGTGTAGCTAGGTTTATTTTTACAGTGCCCAGCAGAGGTATGCTTGTTTCTCAGAAAATAATCTTCCTTTCTCTTTCTCTTCTTCATTTATATCTGCCTGGATCTGGAGGATGACAGCCCCTCTTAGCATTCATGCAAGCAGCCACCATATCAGAGAAACACACACAACGGGTTTATTACGGACGGGTTTATCACTAAGCAGTGCAACTCTTACATGCTTACTGTCACCCTGCCCTGTAACAGTGCATGTTTTTCCCTGTGTGCTGTTTCCTACCTTGTGTGTCTGTCACCAGTCAGAGGACACAGCTGCAAAGACGTGCATGGAAGCTTAGCAAAGGAAATGCTGAACCGAAGCCATTAAAATACAGTTCTCCCAATACTGAAGAAAGAGCTCCTCCTGAAGGCAAAAATTGGGACCTGTGGTTCTTTAAGTTATTTGAAGTTTCCTTGTGCTTGCATTGCATATAAGAAGATAACATCTTTTTATTATACTTGCACTACTTTGAGCCCTAAGCCCAGAAAAGGCATCACAGAATCCAAGGAACGCAGTTACAGAGAAGCAATCAAAGTGCAAACAAGCTCCATTTACAGATGTGGAGGAACTCCAGTGTGCAGACGAGGCAGTAGGATGTGCTGGGGAATGACAGTAGGGTGATTTTTTGCTGGAGAATTGGCCACAGGGCTTGGCATCGCTTAGAGTGAGTCACGGATTTCAGTGTTCGCTGATACACTATGATGGTCACTGCTTGTGTTGTGTTATGTTGGCAAGAACTGTGCCCATACCACGTGTTTCTCTCCTAATCAGCTGATTTATGTGCATCTTCCTTCATGATGACACTTTCACCCATTTATTTTTATTTCAGGCCTAATCCCAAGCCTGCTGGTGTAACTGAACGTTTCTTTCTGACTTCTGTTGTGTCTCCATAATGCCACATTTCCGTGTCTCTGCCACAGTCCTGATGTCTTCTTGTCTGTCTCTGTTTAAAAGTGGGCTTAGCTGGATTGCAAAAATTGGGCATTACTGGCATGAGTACTTCAGAAAGTTGGATTTGGAAAGGAGACCAAAGTTGGTTCTTACACACATCCCATGAAGACTTGTTAACACTTAAAGGGGGATCTAGAATGTCTATTGGTGAAGAAGTTGACCTTTTCCATTAGAACATGCTGTCAAATTCTGTGATGTCATTACTGCAACTAAACAAGGCATTTAGAAAAGCAAAACGCTGCCCATGATTTGGGGGATAAAATAGCGGGTAACTGCACCTGCACAACAATTAGCAAATCACACAGGGAGTTTCTCTAAGAAACAAGGTCTGTAAGAAACAAACCTTTTACAGTGGCTTACTGAAAGACATATGTGAAAAAGGCAAATATTTGGAGTTCATTAATTTTATTAGTAGCATCTTAAAAGTATAAAAATCTTTTCCTGTGATTGAAACTAACAGTTTATTTCAAATTAAAATCCTGTGCTCAGGGAGAGGAAAATCAGGTCATCTGGCAGTTATATACAAACCATAAAGGGAGCACACGTACATGTCCAGTACAGCTGGATTCTCAGTATTAGGGGTGGACTGGGCTTAATTTATGACTTTCCCCATGCGTTCCAGAGGCAGATGTGCAAATATTTGTGCTGTGCACTCACACACATAAATATGGATACAGTCTTAAAAAAAACTCCTTTGGTGGTATTACTCGGTCTTCTTTCCCTCTGTTCACAGCGACATATAAACCATTATATTAATTTTTCCTTGGTGCTAATTATTGCAAAATCTCTCTGTAAGAGTCAGTTATTTGAAACTTCTTCTATAACAATTTGGAACAATTTGGATTTTTAAATTTTTTTTTCTGTTGAAAAGATTAAAAAAGTTCTCTCTCCTGCTTTCCATGTAAGTGTCTGTACCTATTACAGAGAGCCATCTGCTCTTCCTTTGAGGTGGCTTTTCAGTGGGATTGATCCATGCAGTGAGTCAATTTCTACCCTGTGATTACAAGACTGGGGCTTTTGTTTCTCCTTTTTGAACGATTTCTTATATTTGAGAGCGAGGAAGAAGGGGAAGAAGTATCAGTGGAGGATGTGTTGTAATTCCTTGCACCTTTAGGAAATATCTCAGAAACTCAGTAGTTTTGAAGTGGTTCATTTCTGAGAGTTCCTAGTAGACGTGGAGCTGGTTTTGTACTTTCCAACATCATCTTCATCCAAATAATGACAGTCTGAAAGATCCAGTGTTTGGGAGCAGCTGTAGAAACACCCATTTTAGAATGTGTTGTGATTATATCTGCCTGTAAAGAAAAATAACCTTTGTTTCTGACATGTTTACTTAAATTTCAGGAAGTAGAAAATGTGCTACGTGAATGTTTCTATCCCCAGAAAATGAAAAAGCAGTTTAATTGGGGGGGGGAGTATTTTTTTGTTGTTGTTGCCACAGTAAACATTTTCTTATTCATCTCTTTGCCTTTTCTAAATAAACCAATGATATACAGTAGAATTTGGATATGTTAAAGTCTACATTTCCTTTATATTCTCTGTGGTTTAAAGAGTGGAATATATCAAAATTGACAAAAAACGAGTTAATTGTGAAAACTAATATTTAACCAGACATGTTTTGTCATAGTGGCTGTAACACGTTATGCTTGTTTGCACACAAGACTGTCTTGGCCTGTTTTGACTATCCAGGCACTTCCTTTTTGTTCAGACCTATAGAGACTTTTAGATAAACCTGCAAGAATGTGCTTTTACAAATTAAATTTTTTTAAAGAAACTCTTTGTTATTGGAGTAAATGTATTTATTTACCAGTATGTGCAACGACTGATTTTTGTACTTTCACATAATTTACCCTGTGTATGTCATAGAGGTCCTGGTGTTTGTGAATACAGAGCACTGTGCAGGAATATTAAACTTAATTTGTTTGAAACAACTATGTCTTTCCCTACCCAAGGTCAGAAACACCTTGATAAATTACCTACACTGAGTATGGAGGTTATTTAACACAAGGAGTTTCCAGTGCCATTTAAACTGCAATTTTACCTTGAATGCCAACACAAAATGCCATAGGATGTTATACTATCAGTCCAGATTTTACCAGATCTGTAGTCATTTTTGGTCTGTAAGCTTTTCTTAAACTGTGAGCTCAAAGTGTTGAAGTGAGTAGAAATCCTCCTCTCTCCCATTTCCATGAAGAGGACAGTGAGATTCCTCATGAACACCAACTGAGCAGAGGCCGCTTGTTTGCTGCCTTGGGTGTCCCTTTCCTGCTGCCTCAGTGCTCTTTGCTGTGAGAGAAGCCAACTCTTTGCAGGTCTGGCTGTTATTAAGGACTGAACTTTTGGCCTGCTCAATTTCTATCACTTCATGGTTTTGGAATCATTCTGGAAAATGGTCAGAAAAACCCGGGATGCAGTTCAGTTAGGACAAGAGCCAGGAACTGTGCTTAGACAGGAATGACCGACTGCCCAATATCAAAAATCCCCAAGCTTCAACCACGTCAAAAGCTGCTGGCAAGCAGAAGAAAAGTGTCTGTCCTCCATGTCTCTGATAAAATGGATTCAAATCTGGGGTCAGGTTAGACATCAGAAAGTTTTCTGAATACAAGGCTTGGGAACCTTGGTACAGACTTTTTATCTGAGAAACTTTCAGTGAGAGGAGACTCACAGTTTCCTCTGTCAGAAACAGTACAGCTTTGGGTAATCTTGCGCTTTGGCAGGTGTTTGATCACCACAGGTGATCACCAGCAGAGGAGGAGTGGTCTCTGTGCACTGTCTAAGACCACTGAGAAAAATTAGAGGTTTCTGTTTGCTGCCTAGGAATCTGCCCACACTGAAAACTGGTGAAGCTCCAAAGGTGAGAAAAATCACTTGACTAGACCAGCCTTTCCAGCTGTGTTTGTACACGGGATGTTCAGTCTGTCTGATCTGCTGTTGCATTCATTTGCTTTGAAATAAGTGTTTGGTATAAAACCATTAAAAACCAGGCAATTTTCTAACTTTTACCTGGGTTCTCATGTCCAGTGTTTGTAATACATGAGGTTAGAAACAGTATTTTTATTAGGATGTGCAAGTAAATATCATTTAAATAGAAGATTATTGCAGTATATTGTTCTGTGGCCTCAAAGTTAAGCATAGTTTTCTTAGTCAGATGGATAATTTAAAAAATCCAACATATGGACACTAATTGCTAATGCAAAGAGTTAGGTCATACACTTCTTACATGTTTATCTGTTTTTCACATACTATTTGTTAACTAGTGCTCTTTAGAGTATTTTTGGGACCAGCAGTGATCTTACTTTGTACTTATTTTTTCTGGTCCCATGGAATGCCTGAAATGATCTGTAACCATTATCAAATATCGAAGCAGAACGAAGCCCTTTTAGGGTTTTAAAATCTAGTTTTATTAGAATGTTTAGTTTTGACTACACATGTGCTGTTTGTTGTAGCTTTAACAAAAGTACAGCCATTTAATTTGCTGGGTAGGAAACATCATAAGTAAAAGAGCTTTTAATAAGCCTGACTGCTTCCACTGGGTGTCCATCTGAGCTTCTATAACTTTTTTCCAGATTCCCAGGTTTGATGATGTTCTGATCTATGATTTTGATTTACTGATTTAATAGAGGTTGAGAATCCTGATTTTGTTCAAATAAGCTCTACTTCAAATTATGAATGTTTTGTGTTAAAAGTGAACAATTAATAATTATGAAAGCTGGGCACACACATGTGATGGTCCTTTTCTAAAATGCTCATCAAAGTAGATGTTTCTGTTTCAGAGGGGGAAGCTGAAGCAAAGGGAGAAAAGGAAATGTTATATAAAAAGGAAGAAGCCCAATTTGAAGCCTGCTGTTAAGCTGCTGCACGAGGCATGGCTGGCTGCATTCAGAGAGCACTTACTGGTAGCAGGGGGGGATGCCAAGGCCATGAAGACCTCAGAGCTGAGCTCTTGAGACTCTCTGACACCACACAGCCAACCTGCATATCATTCTCTCCTGATGGTGCTGCAAAGAAATACAAAAGCAGTAGCTCTGTCACAGGTGTTGAAAGGGGCCCTAGCAAGTGGTCTCTGTGCTAGTAAGGGAAAAGTCATTGATTTTTCATCTTGTTTTGTTTCTTTTTCACTAATGCTGCATGAGAACTATTTCTTGACTCACCCTCCAGAGCAATGTGTGCTTGGTGTGCCTGTGGGGACTGTGTTACCTATGTTAAGGGGCTGGAAAAGAAATTGGGGACTGCTGCTTGTCCACCGAAAATGACCTTTCAGTAAGGACTGTGCAAGGGTGGAAGACAGCAAGGTCAAAAACCAGACAGGAGTTAGGAATTAAAATTTTGTAACTAATTGGGAAGCTTAGTATGTAACACGCAAATGAATTGCTCATAGAAGGAGAATGTGACTCCCAGTGCCAAGTGGAACAGCTCCAAAGGACGTACTGATCGACTCCAGCCCCAGGGGACAACTGAAGTTGTCAGTCCTTGCTCCACACCCCAGCATGAGGATCTACAAATGCTTCCCACTGCTGTAGTGAGGGTCCTCATTAGTACAGCCAGCTGCCTTCATTAAGCAGTAACAATTGTGTGCATCTTCTCTTGAGGAGTACACCTGGTGCAGGTAGTTTGGTGTGTGAAGCCTGAATGGCTGCTGACCCTTTGCCTAACAAAGGGCAAGCTGGACCTGCAGCACCGGTCACCTGGGTGGTGGCTGGTCACCCAGAAACGCTGTAGAACCCACTGAACAACGAGAAGACCCCAGACCAAATATCACCATTGGACCAAGAGGCACGTGTAAGGGGTGTGAGGGGCACGTGAGGAGAACAGGTGCACAGCCTGTAAGGGTACAAAAGCCAGGGAATTCCAGAGGCACTCAGCTTGAGCAGTTCTTACATCCCTGCACCACAATTAAATTACTGAAAGGAACCAGACAGTCTGCTATGGTCGAGCTGGTGAGGGAAACCTGTCTGTGTGAGTGTGGTGTGTGTAGGGAGTAAAACAGGTCACTGGTTCACTGGAACCACCCACTGCGAAGGGGCTTTGGTTTCAGCAGTTAAAGTCTCGGGGGGTGGGAGTGTGACTGTCAGAGTGGCTCCACAACAGTCAGACAGGAGAGTTTCCTAAACAGTTTGGTAATCCAGATTGCACCCTAGGCAGCCACCTTCAGTCTCCCTTCTCCAAACATCCAACTGCTGGCTCTGTGTGAGTTCACTTGAGAGCTTCGGAGCAGAGAGGAGCCACAAGGTGAGTGTTAAAATTCCGTGTGAGATTTAGCATAAATTATAAGGGTGGGTTTGGCTCTGCCCTGTGGTGAAGCATTTTGCTCAAGATTTTGAAGATCCTGCAGGGGGTTATAATCCCTTAAAGGTGCATGAGTTTCGAGTCCCTTGTACGCTGTAGAGGGTTAGAGTCCCTTGTTAAGGCACACATAAAAGGGGAATTCAAGGGGAATTCGAAAAGGGAATTCAACCCCTTTTTTTCATGTAAAATGGGGGTTTAAGTCCCTCTCAGTGCTTGAAACAATGGGAAATAGACCCAGCACTGCAAAAGGGACACCCTTGGCAGAGGTTTTGCAAAATTGGCAGAAAATGTGTGGTACAGCAGATTTATCCAAAGAACATGCAATAATGCTGTGCCAAGAGGACTGGGCAGCTCTAACCTGGAGTGGCAGCTTGGCAGAATGATAGCCATCACCAGGAGCTTCTGATCAACACAAATTCACTTTCCTGCAGTGATACCTGGCAGATGGAATCCCCAGATTACGTGGATTATTGGTACGTTTGGAATGATTGCACTTGGCATGTTGGGACAAGGCTGGGGAGGGGAGTCAGTCTGTGGGCCAGACCCGTAACTCGGGGACACAGACTGGCTCTGAGGGCTGTGTTGGTTGGGCTGGGCTGTGAAGTGGGGCTGGGTGGTGGCTCTGGACGTGGCACAGGCCCTGCCCCTGGGTTGCCCCAGCTGCTGTGGGTGGCATTCCTGTGCATCCCTACTTACCCCGTCTCTATCAGTGCACACCCAGCGTGGGGGGCCAGATGTGTGCAGGTCTGTGGGGGTGGCCCTGGGCTGGCACCCACCTCAGCTGGTGCCCAGGAGCCAGCCTGGAGCTGGTGCAGACCAGAGGAATCCAGCTGTTACATCTAAGCAAAGTGTCACGGCAGGTGCAGTGGGATGCCTGTCCAGTGCTCTTGGGTTTGTGCCTCATGGATCAGCGCATTCTCATTTCCTTGAGAATACTGGGGGATGATTTAAGGGCCTGGCTGAACACGGGGGTGAGGCTGCCACGTATCTTCCACTAGACCAGACTGTTCAAAGCCCCAGCCAACCTGATCTTGAATCAGGTTTACAGGAAGGGGGCATCCACACCTTCTCTGGGCCATCTGCTCCAGCGCCTCCCCACCCTCATGACCAGAGGCAGTTGCCTCAGCCTGCCCCTGTGTGCCATGAGCTCCGACTCCTCCCCACCTTCTCCAGGACTGAGCCCATACCACATGTATCGGGGCCTTTCCTGGGCTGGGGAGACTGGGACAGAGAAATCCATAGGCAGTCACCAAAGTCCCAACGAAGAGAAGAAGAAAGCATTTTTACTGTTGTTTTCTTGGTTTATTGGTTTGGGGTTTTTTAATTTGTTTATTTCCCGACTTGAAAAGAACTCCTTGTGAAGCAGCTAGAGGGGCCCTTCATGCTGAAGGCCAGCACTTCTTCCTGGCAGAACTGCCGTCTGCTGCTTCTCAAAGGAACAGCTGTCTACATTCTTGGCTTGATCTGTTACTATTCTTCGTGCAAGACTGCAGAGGGTCTCACTTCACTCATTCATCAGGGAACCTTCTGGTCCTCAGACTGAAGAAACCCCATCTCCAGGCCCCAGGGATGTCAGTCGCCCTCTGTGTCACCTTAGCACAGCAGCCTGGTAGAAGCCAACTCAACTCAATTCCCTTTTCTAGAGGATCAGAGCAGGGGAGCTGGCACCCCTTCAGGAGGGGTGGGGGCAGGGGATGGGAAGGAAGAGCTCATGCCACCTGTGGCAATCAGCAAAATAATTTGTTGATGCCAGGAGATGGAATGAGTGAGCCAGCAGGATGGCCAGGAGTGGAAGCTGGGACTCCCACCTGAGTGGGGGCTGGACCAATTGTAGGGTGCTGGCCAGGCACTCCTGAGATGCTACAGTCACCTTCCCATGAGATCCTGTGTTGACTATGACCAATGGCTGCATTATCTACACTAACTCCTAGAATGACCTCCATAATATTACCTGGCACATTTGGAAAGAAGAAATTCCTAGGTCTCAATGCCTTCATTATTATAATTTTACTGAATTAAAAAGAGCTAGTCTCAAATTGTTGATGTTACAGCCTAAAAAACCCCAGAACTTAAAGTGGCACCAGCAAAGCAGTATGTGGACATGGAAACGGGAAGTTTCCAGAAAAAGCCTCTTACTCGAGAGGTCACAGGAGCACAGATGCTGTCACCAAAGTGCCAAATAAGGGAGGATGACAGCATTTTTATCCTTGTTTCATCGTTTATTTTTCAGTGATGAAGGTGCGGAGGTTGGGCCGCCGGTGCTCCCAGAGCTGTGCGCTGGATGTCGTCGCTTGAGTGTTGGCAATGGTTCTCAGGGTGCAAGGGCTGATGCTCCTCCTCTTCCCTCTCTTTGTCCTCCTCCTCCTCTTCCTTCTCTTCCTCCTTCTGCACCGTCGATTGCCATGTTTCAGGCCCAGGGGAGATGACTTCTTCTTTGGTGGCTGTGGGAAGCGCCTCTTTGCTGTCCCACGTGAAGGTGGGCAGCAACCCACCTCACTGCTCCAGCTGCTCCCTGGCATGCTGATATCCCTGGGCTGCACGACATCCCCTGGCGGGCACAGAACCAAGCCCTGCATGGCCTTGACAAGGGAAGCGAGGGCAATGGCACTCTCGGGAGAGGCGTGATTTTGTTCCCGCTCCTCTGCTGCCTCCTGGCACATGCCTTCCTCTTCTGCCATCATGGGAAGTGGCCCTGTGCTCCTGTCCTGCACGAGGGTGGGCAGCCATCCACTCTGCTTCTCCGGCTCCCCTTCTGTCCAGGTATTCATCAAGGGCCTGGAAGCTGCAGGAGTTTACAGTGCCGGAGCAGTGAGGTGACGTGACAGCACAACCAAGCCACTGTGATGTCAGTTGTGACTGGGGCCGAGTGTGGCCCAGTACATCGGAGTTTGGTTGTGATGGGCCCATGGCCTGGAAAATGCTGAGATATTGGAGAAGGAGGAGGCTGAGGGCTCCTCTCCTGAGGCTCACTCCCACCTGCCGTGTTGCTTCCATGAGAAAGGCTGTCCCTTGGGCACAGGGACCGCCTGCCACCTCCCCTTGTGAGCCCTTCGCTCCAGCACCCTCCTCATCCCATACCCAGGTAACCCTCAGCAAGACAACATTCCAAGAGTTAAAAAACCCCACAGGTTTCCAGGAAGAAGGGTGGGTTCAGTCTAAGGGGCACCCTCTAAGGGGCTGTTCTCTATTTTTACAGACAAACCTTAACACTGCTTGTTCGGTTTTTAATTTCTAAGGATATTTTTGTGCTCTCACATATTATAGTCCACTTCCTGCACTCACCTGGGAGTTTCACCACATCTATGGCAAAGTTAAAGAACAGCTCACAGCACTTCAGTCTTGCTCTCACAAGTAACACAACATGGATTAGGCCACTGTTCCTGCAACAGAGAATAACTGGGAAATGGGCTGTGGGTTGGGGTAGCATGTGAGTTTTGTGGGTTGTAGTGGCAACAGTTTCTTGGGCGTACAGCAGCAATGATGAGAAAGTCGTGTGTGTGACTGTGATCTGTTCTGCTGATCAGGTAACATTTAGGTAAAAGAAAGAAGGCATACTTTCTCCTCCAGCATCCTGTACACTCATATATATATATGTGTGTGTGTGTGTGTATACATATATATGGATTTGATTAATTTTCCTAACTGGTAGCACACAGATGTAGCACTGGTAGCGCTGAATTTTTTTGAAAAAGTCAGAGGAGACATTCGGTTAACTCTGGGATGACAAAGGGCAAAACTAAGGACTGTTCCCTTGGAACTGGAAAGAGTCACAAATATGTGCTCCACACATCATCTGCTCCAAGATACCAGGCTTCAAAAATCAAGGACAAAGCGCTGTTGGCAACATCATGGTAACCCACAATGAAAGTGCATGAAAGAGGGTTCCAGTTCAGGTAGGTGATGTGACTGGTACCACGAGAACGAAATTGGTACAAGGACATGAACACAGGGAAGTCTCCATTAGGAACAAAAGCCTTACAAATGACACTTTATACTCTCTACCTTTACCATCCAGATAACATCCCCTATGTTCCCTATCAATCAAGTCCTTTCGTGTTGCGCTTTCTCAGTGTGCCTGAAGTTTCATCTGAATCAGTGGCTTTCTGCTCTTCTAGTGCTGCACTTTCATTTTCTGACTCTACAGACATGTCCTCTTGGGTTGTCTCCTCAGCTTCACTGCAGCTCTCAGAGTGGAATCCAGCATTCTCTGCTATGACAGCAGGATCATCCCCATAACAGCAGCAGCAGTCCTCAGTGCTTTGGCTGTGATGAAGGTCCCCCTTCTCTTCACCAGTGAGAGTCGCCTCATCCTTTTTCTGCATTAAATTCTGACCACCCCTTCCCGTGGTGAGATCAGTTAGCAGGGTTTCATCACAAAGATAATCTTCATCTTCCATGCCCTCCATTCTTTCTGCCAGCTCTTCTGGAGAGGGTTGGCTCAGGTCAGGGTAATCTACAAGGACTGTGTCCTGTTTGCGCTTGCAGCAATTGGAATTATCGTAGACAGGATAGGTCTCTTCTGGATAACCTTAGGAATAAAATGATATGCAGCTTGAAGTATTAGCAGCATTTAAAAGTAGAACTGACTTAAGTGATGAATGCAAAGTTTGATAGAACAGTTGTGTTTAGCACTGTCAGTGTGTCAGCTATTTAATGCCATGTGTACACTGCAGCATTAAATCCATGGCAAGAATCTGCAAAACGTGACTTCTTGGGAGACGATGGCAAAAGAACCACTTATTGTCAGGGAGCCAGGTTATCAGCCCTGACTTGGAGTAGTGAATATCTGAGCTTTGCTGAAAGCTATGGGAGCTAACAGGTAAAAACTGTGTGTCTCAGATCTTTAAACAGAACCTTTTTTTTCTGTCTACAGATTGACTGATGCATGTTTTGAAGACTTTTGCTGTAGACAGCATTACTTAGAAAATGGAAAAAACAGATATGTCAATGACTCTGCATTTCATTTTAGAAACACCATCATGAACTTCACTTTACAAACAGAGCTCAAGGCCACTGTTTTGGATCATTTCTGAAAGCTTTTTTAAAGGCAAGAAATTAAGTCTGCACTTTTAAAATTCTAGTAAGAGTAGCTCAACTAAGTAACTTGAAAACACCAAGGAATGGGAAGGACATTAAAATAAATAATTTTTAAAAGACAGACTTCCTGGAGTTGGCTTTTACCACACTGGAGCAAACAAAGAATGACTAATCAAAAGTAAAAGCTGTAAGTTATCTAAAACATAATAATTCTGATTTCCAAGAGTTTTATGATTGATTGTCATGAAATCCAGCACAGCAAAGTAAAGGAAAGATATAAAACTAGAGCAGCCAAGCCCCAGCAGCAGATGGAGTATATGTGAATATTCATATGCCACTTTTGGCAGCAGATAGTGTAGTGTTGTAGTGTTTACACTAAAGGCAATGCTTGGTGCCTCAACATCTTTTTGTTTTTCCATTATGGTTGGAAAAAAAAATATTCCTTTTGCAAAGGTTTGAACACTAACTTCTGGAAAGGAAGGGTGAAGTTAAACCTAAACTTTGGAACTATTTGGGACTATAAGTAATCCTTATTCAATTTTTCTCAAAAGGGTAATGGTAAGAAAAGCTCTCGCTTACCTTCCCAGTCTTCCATGTAGGGAGCTTCTTCAGCTTCCTTCTCAGGAGAGCTGTCATCTATGAATTTTCCTTCTTTCATAACTCTAGTAATTTCTCGGAGTTGTTGAAGTAACAATTTTTCCTGGTCTGTTGTAACATTTTGAGTCCCGCTAGAAAATATTAGACACCAGAGTTCAGTCTGCTGTTATTACAAACTGTTAAAAGAGTTTGAACCCAACTGTTTGCTCCATCCCAGCAGCACAGTCTGAAGAAACCTGTCTGTAGCATCATCACTACTCAATATGTGCATGTGCTCTGCACTTCAGCTCAGTGTAGTTCTTCCCCCCTTTATCCAGAAATCCTGCAAACTTAAACAGGTAAAGGAAGGCAGGTAAAGCCAGTATGAGAGCAAGATTAAAGTGACACACAAGCAAGAGTTGTGCTACAAAAGACACTACAGGGATTTCTTGCCTTTATAAAAGTGTTAGGAAAGAATTAAGAGTGTTTGAAGCATTATAAGGAAATGTAATTCTGAACCTCTGCTACATTTGTAGTTTGTGTGGGCTGATCAAAATTACTCAAACATCATTATCCTCAAGACTCTTATGATTCCTCATTATGACCATTCAATTTGCAAGGCCTCATTAGGAAACTTCAACTGGACAGATCATGCTGTTATTATAGAGAGTCAACAATGCTGCCTGGTGGGGAGGTGGGGGTAGAGGCAGGAAGGAAGATTTAAAAATGAAAAGAAGGTATTACATTTATTACATTTAACTTTAACTTGCCCTTTATGATTAGAGAGTAGGAGAGGATTTTTATCAGATTAAAAGCAAAATATGATTCTCCACTGGTTCTACACTGCTGAGTCTAGTAATTACTACAGCTCAGGTAATATAATTACTTACTGCTGTAACAAAAATGCTTCCAACAGATAAGATCATGTAGTCATGACACGTTATTTTCTCTGGAAAGCAAACGGCTCCTAAAAATCTTATTGACAAAAAAGGAGTATTTGGAGGGTGGTGGTCTGTGCTCTACTAACTCAGTAGGTCAGAGTAAGAAAGACATTGGCTGTACTTAGAGGTGAAAATGGTTCTGACCGATGGTGCTTGTTTCATCTTGAGTTTCAAGGTTAGAATTATGATATCTTGATCTTTAAGTTGTCCTTGAGCAGGTGTTTGTGTAAGTGCCAGTTCAAGACTCTCAGGGGTCTGAGGCACTACTCTAGTGCTCTTTTGGATCTTGCTGTGTTTTAGTCAGGATCTGTTGCTTCTAGTTCCTTGGAGAGGGTGGGCCTTGGCATGCACAGAATGCTGAACTGCAGGCAGTGTGTGAGGTCAGAGAGGTGATCTCTGGTGATCTCTGGACTGGAGATCAGACACACATAATATCCAAGAGTGAATGCTCAGTGAATCTTAGGGATGAAATGGGAAGAGAGGAGCTGGGAACAGATTAATGATTTTGGCTTTAGGTGGTTAGTATCTGTCTAAGCCTTGTTTCAGTTACCTGAATTCTCATAAACTTGCAGTGCTCCTCTTCAGTTTTATCTCTTACCAGCTGCTGGGACTAGAGCAGCACTCCAGTAGGTACTTTGTACCACTCTACATACACAGGAATGTTGGGTGACACGATGGCTACTCCACCAAAGGCAGAGTGACACTGGTTCAAAGCCAAGCATCCTACTGCTGGTTGGTGCAATGGCGATGGGAGTTCTGACCCTGGGTTAGATTTTTTTTTTGGTACAGCTGTAAACACAGGTGTCTGTGAACCCAGCTCAGGAGCAGGCCTGCTGGTTTCATTAGCACCTACCCAGATTAAACTGCTTGACTGAGATCACAAGGCAAAACATCCCTTATCTACACTTTCCCTGAGAGGCACTTGGCCCCACATTTTGAGAAACTGATATCCCAACACTACAGGGAGGCTGCACTGAGTCAAGTTGTGCTGGCAATCTGTTCTACAAAACAAGTGAAGTTGTGAGGCAGCAGCGTCTTCTCAAAAGCCTGGGTTATGCAGATGTAGAATCTGAGACGTGAATTAAGAGGCCCAAAAAAAGGAATGGTTTCATCAGCTAACTGCCTTTGTTTGAAGCTGTAAGCTCTCTGTATTTGTAGCTCCAATGCAACCATTACTTTTCATAATGGCAATGATAACATTTTGTAGAGTCCCAAAGTGTTCACTAACAAGTAAAGTAAAGGTTTCTTATTCTTACTCTGAGGAAGAACATTTCCTAAAGAGCCATCGTGACTGCAGTGAAAATCCATAATCTAACATGACATCTCAGACATGTTAACTGGTGCTTTCTTAGCTTCATGATCTTAAAATAATCGTTATTGAAATGCAGCTACCGCCCAAAAATGGCACCCCACAGAGCCTCTTGCTCTTCCATATCACGTTTGCTCCGTTTTTGGTAAAAAGGAAAGTTTTTCCAATTGACAGCCTAGTAAACAGGACAGCATATATTATTTCTTTGAAACAGAATTTCTTTCCATGGTACAGCATTCTCTGAGAATAAACTATCCTTCCCAACTCATCCAGATTTCGAGAGCAATTTTTTTTTTTTTTAAGAAAATACACAAAATTAGAATGTCTTTGGATTCCAAGAATCTTCACCAGATGCTCCATCCTGGAGCAGTTCATCAAGGAGGAGAATGCTCCTGAGGACACTGAGGCACGAGCTCAAACCTCAGCACTCTTACAAGCACTGTGTGTTACTGCGTTTTGTGACAATGCAAAATATGCCCTTTAGTTTGGTTACTAATACTTCACTTGTCCAGCTGGCTGCTGCTTTATCATATCTAGTCTAAAGGGACATGGTCTCATCTGATGTCTTTCAGCATTAGTTTAAACTTGATACCAGTTATTTCTGTCTTTGACTTTTCTGTTGCAAGGATTTCTGTTTAATTGCTTATAAAAAAATGAAACTCAAGTAATTTTTGCTGTCTTCTTTCCTTTTTATTTAAATCTATCAACATCCAGACTGAACAAGCCTAGCTCAGTACTCTGTGCTCTAAATACACTTCCTACCATACATTTTATTCTAACACATTCATCCAGTATTACTGAACTTAATGAGTATCACAGTGTAGATTAAGAAAGCTTCCAAATCTGTGTATTTAAAAACAGCTATTTGCTCCATCTAGAGGTGCTTTCCCCTTCCTCTTCAAAGAGGCTACATACAAAATTCTTTATTAGATTCAGATTCTGATTTCCCCTGAGACCTTTAGATCCATGCATATAAATAGTTTGGTTGAACAAAGAAGGGAAGTTCCACTAAATAGAGGCTTTGAGCCAATAACACAGAGTGGAACAAATACTGGATCAGACCCTAAACCGATTTTCTCCATAAAAAAATATCCTATCCTGAGAGTCAGCACAATAAGCCTATTTCTGTCAGCTTAAAGGTACGCACAGAGCATTGTGTCAGCTCTCCAGAACAGAGAGGACTAACAGTCACAGTGGTATCCTTCTGTTCCACTAACAAAACCAGGGCAGCTCAGGGGTTCTCCTGCTGGAACCTGGCTGAACATGGGCAAGCTCAGCACCTCGTCTGCCTGAGCTGAGTGCAGCTGCAACACAGGCCATGCAAGAGTGGGCAAAACTACACACTTTGAAGCATAAATGAACAAAATGTGCAAGTTCAGCACAGAGTTGTTCCTACAGAATGGGTTAAAACAGGCCTTGGCTGGCCCAGACAAAGTTAACATGCATTACAACCTGAACAGCTATTGGTTTTGATTGCAAACCTCACGTTAATATTCATGGTATTTCCATTTTCAGACACTGCAGTTATGCACTGTCCTATTGATCTGTTCTTTATACTCCTTATGGAAAACACAGGCTTGTTTCCAGTGTTTCTTTGTAATGTAGAATAGTGGTATGGGGTTTTTAGCAAACATTAATAAACATAATAAAATGTTAAATGCCAATTTTATAACTCTTTTGTCTTTTATATTCAGAAATTAATGCATGAATTTACTGGTTACAGGGAGGAACTAATTTATGTAATCAGATATTATACAATTCTGCCTTTAAAGAAATATTTTATGATTACTCTAACAGGAATTTATATAGATTTCAATTTGGAAAAATAATCCATAGAACTGGAAAAGAATAATTCAGGATAGTACTTTGGTCACATAAGACAGGTTGATTTAATGTATCTTTAAATGTAGAGGTTTTATATTCTGTTTACACCTACCTGTCATCTTCTTCCAAATAACACACTGTAAAAAAGGGAAAGGTAGGGATAGTTTCTATTCTGTTTAAGGAAAATGAAGTTGGAAAAAAATATTTATTTTACACATTGATGCTGAAAAGAGAAAAACTGTAGAACAAAAAGTGTGATCTGTAAAATCAAATTTCTACAATTTGAAGTAGCAATAAAAATGCTATTTTAATGTAGATAATGCAAGAAAGTTTAATTTCTAATCAGAGCAGGATGTCTCCTTAAAATGCTGTAATTTGATACACACCTGTCATACATAGGTCCTACTCTGTTGATTAATTTTTCCATAGCTTCTTCTGTCTCTCTCAGTCTTTCCTGGAGTTGAGTGAGCTCATAGTCAGCTGTAAAATAAAAAACCATCCCAAGATCTGTCAGTAGCAGCTTTGAAAATGTATCTCTGTCCCATTATCACAGGTAGCATATGCTGTAGCAAACCAAACTGTCTGTGAGGAAACTAAAGCATTCAGCTTAGAGAGTTCTACCTGCTTTTCTTGGCCTAAGAAGGTGAAGGCTACTGCCAATGGTAACAGGACACACAGAAAACACCTTCTTTCAAATGCTCTCAAGCTGCCTCCCAATAAATGGGTGGGACACTGGAAATGCCCTGGAGATTGAAGTCAGGGGACAAAAAAATTTTGTGTGTGTTTGCTTGTTTGTTTATTTTCCCTAAGGAAACCACAGTGTTTCGCTGTCTACTCCAGAATTAACAGTTCTCATGGAATTTCCCTCTTAGGACCCTGGGAACAGAAACCAAAAGGTCATTTGAGCATTTTCTAACGAGTCTAAAGTTTGAGAAACCAATTCTTTCTCAAAGAGAATCAAGTTCATGGGCTTGATGGCTTGATCCAGCCCTGCCCAAGTGTGCCAGGCTTACTGGGATGAACAACAGCGGTGTCCCATGGAATCTGCCTGGGGAGCAGAGCACACCATTACCATGATTGCACTCTTTTCCAAAAACTGTGGCTATAGTACAACAGTGGACACACATGCAGGAACACCCATTCTGGCTTTCATTTGGCCAAAAGCATTAACAGGTCAAGATGCAGCAGCATGGATCTCAACAAAAATACTTGAGCTCCTTGGGTTGGGTTTTTGTAGCTCGTGCTCAAAACCCCATAACTGATATTCCACTGCCCCCCACTGCAGAACACAAGAAACCAGTCTGGGTGAGTGAAATATTCAGCTGCTACGGGCACATGGCAAAGGCACAATGGAACTCCAGTATGGCAGGAATGGAGAAATCCATCCACAAGCATCCATCTTTTAGGAAGATTTCTATTCTGCACAGAATGTCATTACTTAATGTATCACTGATGCAATTATTTTGCACGTCTGAGACTTTAAACACAGAGGAAGGTAAACTGGCAAAGAGAAAGGAAGTTACTCCCTCCAAGTCACTATGTAAGTAGTGACTCAGTCTTCAGATTCCTAGTCCAGTGACCTGTCGCCCTGCTCTGCTACAGCTTGCCATGAATGCTTTAGGAATATAAATGAAGAGCTCTAGAGAGAGGCAGAATAATTTTCATCGCTAGTTCTTTGGGTTATAACAATGGCAAATGTTTAACTTACTGCAAACTTACTTTCTCTTACAAAGCATTAAGAGAAAAAAACACAATTACCATTGCTAATAAACTGCACAAAATTGCCAGGCACAATGCAGTACAAGTGCACTGAAAACACAGTCCATAGCACTGAGTGCATTAGGTATTCCTAATATGCACATTAATGTCAAGATAATTACAGCTATGTTAAGAGAATTACCTTACTGCTAGCACTTTCTGTAAAACACTAAGTACTTTTCCTTCCTATTACAGTTTAGGCAGCTAAACACAACACGTTTAAATGCTGTTATTGTAAGTACTCCTCCAATCTCCAATAGTAAGCTCATTAATTTATCTAATAAGTGTCTGCAAATAGTTGAATCTATTCTCACCCATGTTTAGGTAATATCAAAATAACACTTCAGAATACTATTTGCTTTCTTTATTGCACGCAAGAAAACTTTGCCCATTGCAAAAAAAAAGGAAGGGACGAATTAGGGGAGTGCCTGATAAAGGCTAAGAATTCACAAATTCAAAGAAATAATACTGTATCTGTGCAGTATTACCAGACTATTATGGATTACAGAATAATTATAGATGGACATCCTATTATCCATTTTTAATCATTAGCTACACAGCTTTTCAGCAAATCCGTACAGTTAATTCAGCGAACCTCATGAAAAGCCGTTCCTTCCAGAGGGGCTTGGGATCAGGCCACTATTGCAGAGTCTCATTAGCTGAATGAGATTAGAAAGTGATGGTGCAGTAATTCACTTTAACTCTAGCTCACTCCAACACAGAAACTTCTGGCTTGCTCTTTATGGGGGGCAAACAGCAGCTTTACAGTGTGCCCAGAACTCGAAGAACCATGGGCCATGCCAACAGCTACACAGATATAACTCAAATACTCACTAATTTTCCTCTTCATGTTTCCAGGTGTAGCAGCAGGGCATTTCCGCTCTGCAGGAGTAGTTCTTCCCTTGGAAGCCAGCTGGGGAGTAAAAAAAAGATGACCCTTCTATGAAATACCACAATAGTACCATATAAGCCCCAAAGGCAACAGGAAAAAGTACAGAAAACTAAAACATGCCAGAAGGGAACCACAGAAAAGCATGCCCGGCAGCAAAAACAGCCAGCCATGAAAGGTGCCTGGGACATCTCGCCTGCTGAAAACTTCCAAAAGACACTTTGAAAAAATGATATTTTTAAGCATACTGAAAGCATAACTCATAAAAAATAACATCTGAATTCTCCGTTCCTCTCTTCTGTGTATAGGAGGGAAAAAACTAATTTGGCAATTATTGTGAAATGAGGAGCAGGTTCTGAAGGAACTACATGTGACCCACTCGTGCCTCTTGCAACGATTTCTGCCATTATTCCTTCCCAACTCTACACCTGCAGCACAGACACTGGCTGCCTCTATATGGACCCATAGAATAATTTAGTCTAAAAATATTTTTAAGATCACTGAGTCCAACTGTAAATCTCACACTGCCAAGTCCACCACTAAACCATGTCCCCAAGTGCCACATTTACATATCTTTTAAACACCTCCAGGGATGGCGATTCAACCACTTCCCTGGGCAGTCTGTTCCAGTGCCTGAACACCCTTTTCAGTGAAGAAATTTTTCCTAATATCCAATCTAAACCTCCCCTGGTGCAGCAACTTGAGGCTGTTACTTGGGAGAGAGACTAACCCTCACCTGGCTACAATCTCCTTTCAGGTAGTTGTGGAGAACCGTAAGGTCGCCCCGAGCCTCTTTTTCTCCAGGCTAAACACTCCCAGCTCCCTCAGCCACTCCTTATCAGAGCTGTGCTCCAGACCCTTCTCCAGCTCTGCTGCCCTTCTCTGGACAGAAGGTGCACGTTATTTTTTTCATCTCCTCTGTGATTGGTTCACCCAATTCATTCTTCACACTGTCCAGCTCAGACTCAACTCTTTGGACACTGCTCAGGCTGGATTTAGCCCCCATTTAAAGGAAAAAAGCCCCCACATTTCCACAAGTCCGCTTCTCCCTCCTCCCACACAGCCAACTGTCATCACCTACATGCAAATCATGTCTGTGTAACAAAAATCTATGAGAAGTTCAAATCCCAAGTGAAACACTTGAGGGAAATTTTTTTTAAACTAGCTTTCAACCCATTCCTCAGCTGGTGCATTTACAGCATGGTCAATACAATCTTACGAACTCCCACTCTCCAAAAAAGTGTTGCTTTAGTTCTAAAACATACACAGTTACTCTAATCCCTCTCTCCCCCTTTAAATACATAAAACAGCATACACAGTACGTATAATATGTAGTCACAAATAAAGAAAAAGAATACCATGTGTATATTAAAAATTAATCTAACATTGTTCTAGGCATACTCATTTCCGGGGGAAAAAAAGTCCTTAAAAAAACTGTAAGAGGTCAGAGGTCACTGCAGGATCAGAGCAACTTGTCCCTGTGTTCTCAGCTACAGTCACAGCAGAAAACATAGGGTACTCCAATCTTGTGACCACCAGTCAAAGGTCCAGTGTAAGCATTTTCTTTGAGCACAGCTGAAAAGGAACGAGGTACACAAATGAGAGTATCATTTCTTTTTCAAAGTCTTTTGTTGTTTCCCTGACTTTTCAATCTATGTTGGTCTTACCTTAAATAAAATGTACAGTATATATAAAAAGATGCCAAATCCATATATAGGGATGATCTGCCCCACAAGACCTCTCCCAGTTCCACCAGTGCTTCCACTGCCACCTCCACCTGCCTTGGCTTTGGCAACTGCTTCAGCAAGGTGAGACCTCGGAAAATGAGGGACAGCTCGGCCGTCAGGAGTGCCATGGGAATGCATCCTCAGTGGAAAGCGACCCAGCTTGCCTGAAAAAAAACACACAATGATCTTTTTTCTTCAATTACTTTTCACCCTTTCACATGCAGCCTGAAGCTGCAGCAGGTGCAGCTGACCTATTTTCTCTACTTGTAAATGCACCGCCACTAGTGAATAAGTAACCTGTTGCACTAAGTCTGTAAACTCAATCCTCTGTCACTTGCAATCTGCAGTGCTAGGAGTTAGGGTTTACTTACAGCAATTTATTTTTACTCCTATAAAATCCCAGTAACATTACACCATTAAAATCTTTTAATTTTAAGACGAGAAAAAGCTGGCATGCAATTAACAAAGCACAGATTTTAGCAGGTGTGTATATATATATATATATATATATATATATATATATAAAACTTGTCTGAATACCCTATGAATCAGCATCTCCAACAGGATGAACCTCAAATTCTTTCTCATTTCTCTGCTCAAAAAAACTCTCAACAACATATTGGTTTTCTGCTGTGAGCCTGATCTTTCAATATTATGCAAAGGTATATTAGTGTACAAACCACCACCAACCCAACACCCTGATACACGGCTGCAGTGTTTGCCCAGTATAGATTTTCGGCTATGGCCATAAGAATTAGTATTTTACCTGATTTTACCAAGCGAGCAACAAAAGATAAAGTGGTGGCTTCTCAGGCTGTTCTCCTTAAAAAGGTCTAAGGCAATGTAGAAAAGGAGACTGAATATAGCTTGGGGTGTATTATCTTTGGCATTTTAGAGCGAAAACATTCAGAGGTTTCTAGCCTTTCTGGGCAGAGGCAATATAAAATAAGAAGGGGAGTAAGCATATATGGGTGTACAGATGCTAGATAGGACTGCAGAGAGCCTGAAAGGGTGCTACTGATGATTTCATCGAACTGAAAGACACGTGAGCCTCAATAAATTTAAGCTCACACATTATTCTGTTATCTTGCTGCCATCAATTCAACAATTTTGCCATCCAGTTCACTATTTTACTCTCTGTGTAGTTGATATCCTGGTTTCTGTCTTCATATCGAGCCTGCACGCCCTTCCACTGACTGGCTCTGGACTGAACCCCTCAGCTAGTCCACCATGGAGTTTAGTGGCAGGTGGCGTTGGATGAAAGCACCAGAGACAGGATCTGCCAGGCTGGGCTGCAGCTCACTCCCTGGTGCCAGCTGTGCCCCCTCCTTGGCACATGCAGCCTGGACACTGCTGGCTGGGGCTGGGACAGGCTGCGTGAGCTTGCAGAAAAGAAATGAAAACCAGGTTTGAAACTGCACTGAAAATAACTAACTTTAGTTCTCTGAATAGCCAGCTGCAAATATTTTCTATGAAATGCAAGAGAAAAATTTCTTTAACATTTGGTCCTTCTGGGAAACACCATCATAGGAAGCTAAATTCCTGAGCAGAGAAAATTGTAGTAAATACTTACTAGGAAGTGGTACCGATAATTCGTGAAGTCCTACTATTAAAAACACATTTTTCTTGTAGATGAGAGCACACATTCTATGAGTTCTTCTTCAGTGAAACTGCCAGGGTACACCATCACTGACTAAACCGGCTCTCAGATTAGCTTAACTTTGAGGAAGCTGTTATCTTGCACTTAAATTTTGGTGAATTATTCAAAGTCTGTGATGGAAAGCACAGCATCTTATTTACAAGTCCCACTGCTCCAGCAGTAATGCCCTGTAGCAGTAGGTCACTGTGGAAACGAGTGTGGTGTCGTGCAGAGAGCAGTATCACTGAGGTGGGGATGAAGCAGCAGGGTAGATAAACCTTTGTAAAACATCTTATGCAAATGTTCTTTATTAAAGAAAAAGAGAGAGATAAAGAAAGTAGAAAATCACTGTCAGAGGTGAAACTGTATTTAAAGGGAATAGTTTTCTAAATTATCCATAGGGCCTCATTTGTGATTTAAAAGTTCCAATTCAATTAAAGATAATCAGGCCAAAGGGAGACACAATAGACATTATCAAAATCATTTTATAGGGGAATTTCATGTCTCCTAAATCTTCCTTGTTGATTTTTAAACTTTTATAATTATTTCATTATTTTAAAAAAAATACTATTTGCCATAGCTTTTTAGTGTGAAGCATCCACGCAAATTACAGACAAAATTGATGGCACAGGCAACTTAAAAGCATCACACGCTCTCCATCAATAAAATCAAGTGACACTTGTATGTGAGAACAGAAAGGCACACGTGGATGTGTCCACATGTGGATGTGTCCCTGCCTGACACACCATCCAGCTGCCAGTGCTGATGGTGTGCACTTCAACAGGACCAATTTTCCATGCTGTGGGAAGAGCACTAACTCCATTTAGCTTTGAAGGGTGCCCAGTGCTGCTCTGCTTCCCTGAGACAGCCCGAGGGCTGCCTTCATGCAGACCTGATTGCTTCATACGATAACTCCACCGAATACACCCTGCCTGGCTTTGCAATCTTCTACCTAAGATTTATCCAACACACTTAATAATTTTGTCACTTTAATGCTTCAAATCAACTTTGCAAACAAGCTACAGGGCAAGCAGAGCATGTTTTGTCTAATCCCATCCCTTCAATAGCTTTAAGTTCAAAAATGAAATCATGCCCCAGCAAATACTTGTGTTGTTTAGAAGACTGTAGGTTTCTGAATGTAGATGAAGTTCTTAATGGCATTTTCACATTAGAATGACTATAGGGTTTTTAATCTTTTAACAAAATATTGACACTCAACTGAAAAAAAAGCAAATCTTAAAAACTGTAACACAACTAATACAACAGCCAACTAGATGATGATATTCAGATCATCCAAGCAGCTTTTTTCCAAGAAAGCCGTTATATGTTCTACTTAATGTGGCTTAGGAATTGCTACTGAACCTGACCTTTACTATTTATAAAGTTATTTATACTCACATTACTCTATGATTCAGCAAGTCTTAGTCCAGGAAATACGTCTTTTCTGCAATATCTGAGCAGCAGTAAAATGCTGTGACACATATGTACACATATTAAAAAAAAAAAAAGTTTGACATACAGTACATTGCTACAGGAGGTTTGTACTTCCTTCATCAGGAGATTTACAACACATGGCTTCAGTTATAAAATGTGCATGTTTTTCAGACCCCAGAAGTGTAAGAGGAGGATTAGAGATAGGAAATGTCAGTCTGGGAAGCTGTGACTTGTCCAAGATGACATCAAAGCAAAGGATGCTGTTCTTGTTGCTCCTCCAATCTCAAAGGAGCAGCTCCTCAGGGGCACCCACAGTTCTGCTCATGCTCTGCCTTTTTGTTTTTGTTTCCATCTCAAAACCATGTTCACACTACTTTGGTTTGGAAATGCCAAGACTGTGTTCTTTCCAAGTAAGACATTTACTGTTTCTTACTCCCCATGCAAAACAAACCTAACAAAACAGCCTCAAGGACACACCAGCTTGAACTGAAAACAACATGTGACGGTGGGATCCAGAACCACCTTCCTGCCTCAGGAATGTAAATCCCAGTCCTACATCCTATCTTCAAACTGTACACTGACTCCAATGAGAGATGCTTAGGTGCCATTTACATTTTCCCGGTAAAATGTTGATCATAGTGACTGAAAAAGAAAGCCACCACTTTTTCAGACTGCCACAGGGATCAGAAAGGAAATCTACTTTTGTGAGATTCAGAACTCAAAGATTTTGGACATTGTCCTCCCCTGCTCTGTTGGACTTGACATTTAAAGATGTGTGCTCTAAGCAAAGCTTTTGCTAATTAGGATATGCAGGACCTCCCTTTCTGGTTGAAGCCTTCACCTCAGGACACTGGATTCAATCTTTGGCCCATCTCAGCAGTGTATTTTCATAAACTATTAATTTTCTCCCCCTCTCTATCCAATGAGGTGAATTGGCCAAAGGGTTATAAAACTACAAGTGGCACATACAGAAACACACATGGACTCCATGATAACATCATAACTTTATGTTGTCTAGACTGAAAATGCCCTTCCAGGTTTTCTTGCATAACCTCCATGTTTGGTATAATACCTTAGAATAATCTACACAGAAACCGCTCTCTTAACATTTAATCTAAATTCTCTTTCAAGCCATTACATAATTTCTACTGCTATTCTTTAACACCCTTTAAGTTCTCGAACATGTCTGCCCACAAAAAGCCCAAGTAATGAATCCTTTTTATAACACTCCAGTTCATTTGGTTCACTGTGGAGGGAACTCTCTATTTCAGTATTATACACTATCACAAGACCTATGTTTTAGATTTTTTACATGGGCAGTCATTTATATTTTTCTAAGTGTTTTTATTCTCATTCTGGCAATCTAACATGAAGGTGAATAGAACAGTTCATTTAGTTCTCGCTCTTTTACTGGTATTTACAAAACAGCTGTAGCTCTGTTCCCAGCAACACAGCTCTAGAAACCTACCCCACAAGATTAGAAAGTATGACAATTTTGAACTCCTTACTTTAAACCTCCACACAGGCATTTTTCATGGACACAGTCAAACGCTTGAATATTTTTTTATTAAATACTGCAGGTGCAGGTTAAAAACACAAAAACCAACCCAAATGGAAAAATCTTCATTTTCTTCAGGACACCTGCAGGCAACTGGTGTGTGCACTGCATAAATCCAAGCTGAGCAGAGGTACTGCCTGAACTGTCACGTATTTTTCTTGTAAAGCTGATGCCACTTGATTGTTTGAAAGAATGCAGACAGACTGCTACTGTCATGGAGTTGTACGTTTTTCCTAAAACTACCAGCTTAGAGAGTACCTTTACAAAATGCATGGCATGTATTTATGAACACTAGACTTAAAATGTACTTTTTAGACCGCTAGTAGCCCTTTTTTTCCCCTCTTTTTTACAAAAGACAAAAAAATTCCAATGCCTGTCCATGAAGTAGACTAGAAACGTGATACGTGCACAGTATGGTCTTTAAATTAGCTTTTTCATATACATGAAGCTATTACTGTGAAAAAGAACAACATTCCCATCTGGAATATAATATCAACCTCTATAGTTCTATGCTCACCATTTTCCTAAAAGAGACCTCTGAAAATAGCCTTATTAGAGAAAGTGCCATTCCCATGCTTAAAGCCTGTTTCAATAAGAAGCCTTCTGGTAACAGTGAGTTCTAACAAATGGCAGTAAACTTTAAGCATGTATTATTCAGAGACATTTTGCCCCCAAGACTACAATAAGCACTTTATTAACTTCAAGAATGACATGATTACCTCAAGTCCCTGAAACTCCCGTCAGGTAACTGCAGTTATCAGTGCACCGAAGAGGACGACTAATGACAGAGATATGAATTGAACTGCTCAATCAAGATTTATTCTTCCAATAAAAAAATAACTTCAGGTGAAATAAAGTTTGCTCTGCAGAGCGAGTGTAATGAAATTCCTGCTATCAAATTGAAAATATGGGCTATAAACTCTCATCTGAAACCGATCAGCTGAGGTATTACATCTTCAGCCAAAGACAGGTGCTGGGGCTCAACAGGAGAGCAGGCTGCGTGCCTGCACTGCACCAGGCACACACTGACTCCTGTAGTCTGAGCTCTGCAGGATGATGGGAACAGTATTTGTACTACGCAGTGATGATGGACAGAGTATTTATGCTACCTATTTTAAGCATTTAAAATTGGTGGTGATAAGTCAGCTTATTACAGCACTGCTCAGGTATGAGCATCATTCATCAGGCAGATGTCACTGGAAATAATTTGGGGGCAAGATGGGTTTCTTTTAGAGCTTATTTTTCCGTCAGCCAAAGAAAGACACACTGCAACATTAACTGGCAACTGCCTAGGACGGCACTGCTGCGGGAGAATGGTGTGACAAACTCCATCACCTGGCAATACTGCAGGATCAGTCAGGAGCTGCACGGGGAAAGAAGTTAACAGAGACACAGGTAGCACCTCCCAGAGCATCTGCTCCCATGCCTGCTTCAGGCAGGTGACTCCACAATCCTCACCAAGCTCCTGTATTGCCTGCTGGGCCTTTGCAGGGCCCAGCACGGTGCCCTCACAGCACTGCTCCTGATGTGCTGTCAAAAACTCGGCTATCGTTCCAGGTTTGCAGTGGTACGAGATTCTGCAACGAAACTATAAACCTGTAAATCTACAGTGTTGACAAACCAATTTTCAAGTTCCTACAGGCCAAGGACACACATGGTAACCATGGAATGGTGACTGTACAATGGAAATCGTACATTTCAGTTCTAGGTAACATTGTTTTAGCAGTAGCTTCAGCCTAAAGGTCCTTATAAAACCTCAGTAAGTGAAATCCATGTCACTGAAGTGTGCAGACAGGGAAGAACCAAGCTGTTGGAAGGATGCACAAGATGCAGCCACTGAACACGAGTTCCTGTGGGACAGCATCCAGTAGAACCTGTAAGTTCTCTGCACTTCTATCAGTCTCACTTTGGCTTGCGGGCAGCCCTGGGCAGAACTCCTGCTCTGCCAGGACCTGGGGCAGAGAACTGCCCGAAGCACCTACTTTGGTAAAGTGCCTTGGGGAAAACCAGCCACAGTAGAAGGCAATTGGCATAAAAAGAATGGGAGATGTTTGTATGAACCCATTCCTCCAGAACTGAGGAGGGGACACGCAGAGCGGGGGGGCAGGCAGGAAGGACACAGGACACAGCTCGAGGGACAGGACGTGAGCCCAAATGAGTCACCACGTGGCACAGCATGATGAGAACCTGGTGCATGAAAACAAAACGTAAAACGCTGGGAGCAGGAAACTAAACAATGAAGGCAATTGAAATGAAATTTTATTTCGTATGCAACAACAAAACCGTTCCGTACAGAAAATAACAAAATGAAGCTTTCAAATAAAAAGTGATGTATCACAACGAAAAAAAAAAAAAAAACAACCAGAAAACAAAGAAGTGGTAAGAGTATGTCACTTTTCCGCAGCTTTAACAGCCCACACATAAATTAAATGAAATTGGGAAGATTTGGGAAAAAAGAAAAAAAAGAGAGATTATTGTTATCTCAGCGATAATAACGAATGAATCCTCTGACACTCCACACGTGCCTAACGGAGGAGCACGGGGGAAGGGGGAACTACGCCGCGTTCCCACCCCGGGCGGCGGAGCTCCCTCACGGTGCCCCCGCCCCGCAGCGGGGCCGGGCCGGGAGGGGCGGGGGGGAGCGACGGCGAGGAGCGGCCTCTTACCGTCGGGCGGCGCGGGCGCGGCGTGCGGCGCGGCCCCGGGCTCCTGCCGGCCGCCGGCCCGGGGCAGGAAGGTCCGCGGCAGGAGGAGGGAGAGGCAGAGCACCAGGCACGACACGGCGGCCACCCGGCAGCACGACCAGCCCGCCATGGCCGCGCCCGCCGCCCGCCGCCTCTGCGCAGGCGCGCGCACGCGCCCGGCGGGGGCCTGAGGGGGGACCCCGGGCGGGATGGCGGGATGGGGAGGGGGGGGAATAGCGGGATGAAAGTGTTGGGATAACGGAGTGAAGGTGTTGGGATAGCGGGATGAAGGGATGAAAGTGTTGGGATAACGGGGTGAAGGTGTTGGGGTCCGGGGCCAAAGGTGCTGGGATGCCGGGATGAAGGCGTTGGGAGCCTGGGAGGAAAGGTGTTGGGATTTTGAGGTGTAGGTGCTGGGATCCCTGGGTCGGGTCCGGTCTGGGTTGGGTCCTTGTGGAAAACGCCCCGAAGCTCAGAAGAGCAGAACAGGGCAGAGAGAGCACAGGAGAAAGGAGAATGGCTTCAAACTGGAAGAGAGTAGGTTTAGATTAGATATTGGGGGAAAAAAATCCTTCGCTGTGGGGGTGGTGAGGCACTGGAACAGGTTGCCCAGTGAAGCCGTGGATACCCCAACCCTGGAAGTGATTGGATGGGGCTCTGAGCAACCTGCTCTAAGGCAAGGCGTCCCTGTCCATGGCAGGGGGGTTGGAACTAGACAGGCTTTAAGGTGCCTTCCAACTCAAGCCATTCCATGATTCTATGAATTTTCCTAACCCCCCATAACTGTTTCCCAGGCTCTCACCCGCTCCTTGCCTGTAGCACAGCAAACCTGCTGGGGGAAAAGGAAAAAATCTACACTGCACCCTCTTTTTCATTGCTGTGCAGGATCAGAGCTGGTCTCTGCTGCTGGCAGTGATGGCAGGACAGGGCAGGTGGGCACAGGGTGCCCAAAGCTCTGCGTGTCCTGCCGTGCCATGAGCCAATGGCAGCAGCAGCAGCACTGTGGTCCCTGCTGCTCTCCCTGGCCTGGGAAGGGGCCAGGACCTTTCCTATGCCAGGACTGCTGGTTGGGGGGGCAGCTGGGCTTGCAGGGGCAGGAAGGCGTCTTGGCTAAAAGCACTGGTTTGAAGCCGAGGGTCACCTGGATTGTCCACGTGGGTTGGTTTCCCTCCTCTGAGCACACAGGAAAAGTGTAGAAAAATAGAGACCATACTTAATTCAATTTACTGCAACTAAGATATTTAAAAATTATAAATGTGCATATATTTTCAAAAGAGAGCTTGAAATATGCGTATTTCAGTGCATTTGTTTGGGTTGCTGCTGTGCAAAGTCATCTTGAAATGTCCTTCCTAGTACACTAATGCTAAAAGATCGAAGAGGGAAGTTCAGTGTTTGCACTCGTGCATTTTCACCGACTTAAGCAAAATACTGCCAGTCATGTCAAATTAAATTATATGGTTTTGTATTTCCATTATATTTATATTACACTGTATTACTGTAGTTGAATTAGACTATTTTCCATGGGGTCTGGGCTGTGACTACTGAATTTAACTCACTTTACGCAAGAGCTACCCTTAATTAGACTTGAGCGGAGAGCAGAATTGCTTTGACTAGCGCTGCAGACCGCTACGGCAGCAGAATACCACAGGCTCTTAAATTGCTTCAAAAAAGATATCCACTGACGGAACAGCTGGGACCGGGTGGACAATTCCAGAAGTTGTTCTCACTGAGCACCTCAGCCCTGGGGAGGTGGCAGCCCCCGGCCAGGCCCACCAACCCTTACAAACTTACACTCGGCTGGGCTGTCTCCTTGCACAGCTCCTTCACCCACTACTCAGCTACCAGGTCACAGTAGGATTTCTGGGAGTCCTCACTCTGTTCCTGGAAATAAAAATTGTGGGAGCTGTTCTTTTAGCGTCTATGTCTCTTTCCTAAACTTGTCAGCAGCTCTTGATGCCTCCAGAGGCCAAGTTAACAGGCAGGGGCATCAAAAGGAGTGTCACCTTGATCCGAAATGTGTCATCAGTTCACCAACAACAAATAATTGCCTCTGTCTGTCATGGACAATATGTTGTTGCTCTCTGGCAATGGATGTGCCACCTCAAGCAGCAACTTTTGTCTCTTCATTGAGGAGAAAAACTTTTTAGCATCATACAGTGGTGAGACACTGCAGTTCCTTAGGACCATCATCTTCAGCATCTGATGATGCTGAAGTTGCCCAAAGCATCAGTCCTTAAGCCAAAAGGAAAACAACTTACTATGACCACAAGGAGAAAGCCACTGGCCTGGCACAGCACTCCTGGGGATTACTTCTCTTTCCCTTGTAACTCTTGGGATGGGCAGGAAGGACACAACAACTGGTGCTCTTCCTCCTGAGCCTTTCTAGACATGAGCTACCACTGTCAGAGGGTGGTTTCACCCTTCAAGTGTCATCAAGCCAGTTGATCCAAAACACTGATACTTGGGGACTTCCTTGGTGATTAGGTTTGGATAAAGCAGGATGCCTTTCCACTCTTATCTTGTTCCTAGGAAGGTCATTGGAAGAAAAAAAATTAAATGCTTAAGGCAGTTTTCTCAGTACTTTTTCCCCACATCATTCAAAGCCAAGAGGAATGGGGAGACAGATGCTCTACAATCAGCATTTCATGTGGAATCACCAGCTCTCGGATCCCAACATGGTACTTGCTCCATGGCCACTCAAGAAGCCTAGAGCAGCTCAAAGCCAAAGCAAAGAACTTGTTACTGGATTATATGCAGAGACTGCATATAGTCAATCATCAAGAGCTATGTTGAAAAAAAACTTAAAAGGAAGACTTGATAAAACCCTTTCTTTTTTTTTTTCCCCTACAGTCAAATACAGAATTCCTGCAGGGTTCTTGGACTTCACTGTAAGGACAGATCCAGTCCTTCATCTGTGGAAGTCACAGGTGAAATTCTTCTGGTTCAGCTTGCTGTAGAACCCAGTTCTAGTTCTAATCATACAAAACAATGTTGAGAACAGTATCATAACATAGAAGATCAAGGGGATGTTTTAGATGCTTTTACCTTCCTTCTGGGAAAGGAAAATACCATTAATACATTCTGATCTGAATATGTGTTTTTCAGACTATAGCCTGAGTACCATGAACACCCTGATTGCTCACATGGGCATCACAAAGGTCAGTCTCATCAAGTGGGTTTCCCTGTATTTAGGTTGGTTTGAATTGTGTTTGCCGTTATGTGGAAAGAGATGTTTTCACAGAATGGTGTTCTCATAAGTACTAAATGCCCTCGACTTATGTGTCCAAGCTGATACAATATTCAGAAACAGTACTTGCATAGCAAAATACCCTCCAGCTGGTATGATAGATAATAGATATTCAGCAGTTATCAATAGAAATCTCTCACAAATTATTTATTTTGAACTTCAGAAAGGCAACATTAGAAACTAATTTATTTTTATTCCTATTTATTTAACCCTTGTCTTCCTCCCACTTTCCTGTCTTTCTGCTATCCCATGCTTGCCAACTTTCCTAGTTTCTCCTTATTGTGGGATGAAGTTATTTATCCAGTAAAAAAGGCAATTTATCCAGTATGAATCAGAGGTGCTTGGGATTTTTTTCCCCTTGTTTTAAGGATTTCTTCCTAAGGATATTTTTAGGCTAATTTATTTTGCAAGAAAGCTCAAAATTCAGCAAACAACAGTGTGAGTTCTACACATTCATGCAGCTATCCACACTGGCACTTTGACTATCAAAACAACTATCCTTTTGCAAAAGCATTTGCAACTTATTTTAACTTTTTCCTTTCCTAAGGGAAGGGCCACCTTCAGAAGCCAGAACCTTTCTCACATGTATAGGTCAGGATTTGCATGAGCCACAGTCTATGGCCTAAGGAATACTAAACCCTGGATTATGTAGAGCAATATTCAACAGTTCTGAAAACCAAGAAAGGCGTGAATCCTCAAGAATGATTTCTGATAACTCAGGGAGGAGAAAATTAATGTGAAAGAACTTGAATGAATCATTTTAAGCCTGTCTTTTTTTTTTTTTTTTTTTTCTTGTCTGCTCATTCTTGACTGGCCACATATAAATTGCTATAAAAATGAACAATCTTTGATATAAATGTAAATCAGGAAGAAATTTCTTAATCAAACTAACCATTGACACAAGAGCCTCCTCATATATCTAGGTCTTGTCAGAAGCAGTGCTACCACAGCTTCTCTCACCTAACTGAGGGAAGTGTATGTGTGCATGCTGCAAACATACTTCTCACTGCAGAGTATCTGAGTAGCAGAGGACCAAATGCTGCTGCAGTAGGTAAATGCAAACACCAGCACGAAGCCTGAGAGCTTTTTTATGGGGAAGAACGTAATTCCATGGTAATTCCCACATCTGTTGATTAGCTGCAGAGCAGGCAAAAATCACTGGCTGGTCTGCACCGGCAGAGTTCTCTGGGAAGGTCTCTGTGGTGTGTTGTGCTCTCTGTTCTGCAGTGAGGATTTTGTGCACAGCACAAGGGCTGGCACAGCTGCTGCCCTCACTGCGTGCTGAGCTGGTGCTGTACCTAAGAAGCAAAAATGGGTCACATCCTCTGTGCCTTCTGTGGGTAGCCTGGAACATGGATGTGGTTTCTTGTCTTCTGTGTATTTGGCACATCTTCAGGTCTTCTCCTTGCTGAGAGCTGGAGGATTTGCCCCTAAATGAGTGGTGTTGACTAGAGGCTGCCTGCATGTTTTCCAACCCCGTGGTGTTCAGGTAACATCAGGTAGCAGATGGAATTGCTTACACAATGTGATCAGGAACACGTTAAAGAGGATGGCTTAACCTGTGGACAAGGTGATGCCTTGCAGAGGAAAGACCCTTTCCCTGCATCTTTCTTGGTGTCACTGATCAGCAGAAAGAAAGCTCAGATGAATTCTGTGGGCCCGTCTGTCCCCCAAAAAAATAAATAAGGGAAGTAGTATTCTGCTCCAATTAATTAAACAAACTGATATAAATTCCGTGCTTAAATCGTACTTTGCATATCCATAATCTCTGCGCTACATTTTATGTATACTTTACCCTTGGGTAAAAATTTGTGAGCATATAAATGCTTTCTCATATAATCTTGCTAAAGCACGCTCTTCCCTATAAATATTCATACCTCTGCCAAAACATTTGCAAGC